GTGGTTATAATATGCAGATAATGCCTTATAAAACAAAAACAAATATGGAATTTGTGCTAATAAGATCAATATCTCTTGTTTTCCTGACGAGTTAAGTTTGTATTTTTCTTAATACACAAGTAAAGCACCTGACATAATGTAAGGCAGTAGGCCAAACTGGAGTATCAAGGTAAGATAAATTTCTATTTAATCTGACTCCACTGAGCTCCTCTATGCACATGGAGGCATATAGGCATATGATCAACATTACACAGATGCAGCAGGCTCACGTGCCAAACATCAAGCCATTGGCACGGCACATTTAACTCATACTATCTTGTGGATAATTAATTTGGGAGTAGACTTTTAGTATTGTGTCCCAGTTATATATTGTTCACCATCCATTATTAATGTCGTTTTTTATAGTGATAATTAATTTGGGATGCTTGGCGTCATGAAGGTTTCTGCTAGTGGATTCGTAATAAGGAAACTAAATATTTGAAGGAGTTAATTACGTCCATTTTGCAATTACGACTCAGCATTTTGCAATTACGGCTCATTACACCGGATATAGCTGAGAGCTCAACTGAAACACTAACTATAAGCACCAGGCATCATCAAACAGCTTGCGAGTTGCAACTACAGGTTGGACGAAATTCGCAGGCCAAGCCAACATCGCTACAGAGCTCCTCCCTGACACGAGCTTGCTACAGGATAGCCGCCCCTAGGCCTCGCCAAGCGGGTCAATTCGACCAAAAATCCCGAACACCTGAATTCGGCAAATGCGCTCGCGCACATCTCTACGGCGAGGGGAGGGAGGGAGACGGGGGAGAGCGTGTGTGACCTTCTCGTTTTTGAAGCGCGTGCGGATGTTGCCGAGCTCCTTGTCGACGCGGAGGCGCTCCTGCTCCTTGTTGTGGCAGTTGCGGATGTCGCTGATGAAGACGGAGAGCCCCCGCATCCCGGAGAGCGCCATCTCGTCGAGAAGCCCAGATCCGCGCGCCGCCCCGCGAGATCTGGCCGCGGAGCAGCGGCCCCCGCGATCGTAGCGGGAGGAGCCAAAAACCCTACGCGGCGGCGGGGGGTGGATGGATCGGCGAGCGAGGTGGGTGGGCGCGCGCGGCGGCGGCGGCGGCGGCGAGGAGGAGGAGGAGGAGGGGTCTTGATTTGATTCAGTCTTCGCCTCGTCTTCTTCCTTGGTTTCGTAGGGGGGTGGTGGTGGTGGTGGGGAAGAGGAGGAAGGGAAGGGAGGGAGCTCTCTGATCTGTCTCGCTCGCTCGGCTCGGCTCGGGCTCGCCTGCTGGAATGAGCCGCTTTTTCGCTGGTTTCTCGAAGGTTTCTCTCGTCTACGCATGGGAAAAGAAAAAAAAAGGGGGAAATGGGTGGTTGGTCGGGTTGAAGTTTAAACTGCTTCCCAGGGGTGACGTGTCTCTTGGCTGCACGAGATTTGGAGTTGACCTTCAATTTCTGTTTAGCATCAGCACTGGGGGGAATTTTTTTGAGAATTAATATTATTTTTATGGAAAATCGCAAAAGTAGTGGCCAACCGGGGAAAATCGCGAAAGTAGGTCCCTGTCGAACGGGTGCAATTCGATAGGGCACCTATCGAACGACGGGCAGTCGACAAAACCCTATCGAACGGCTGGCGTTCGACACGCCACCTGTCGAACGGAGGGAGTTCGACAGGGCCCACCACCCGGCGCCGCGAGGCCTGTCGAACCGGGGGCGTTCGACAGGGCCCTCCACCGACCCTGTCGAACAATGGGCGTTCGACAGGCCGGTTTAAAGCCCCGTCCACCCAGCCGCGAGTTCGATTTGTTTTGAGGACCACATCGCCAGCCGCCGCCGAGAGTCGCCAGATCGTCGCCGTGAGCGCCGGATGGAGCAAGGGGAGGGGATAGCAGGCCGGAGAGGAGGCCGAGGAGGCGCCGGCCGGGAGGAAAGGGTTGGCGACGCCCTCCAGCAGTGAAGTTAAGGTATACATTAGTAATCCCTAAGTACAATGCATATGAAAGTTTAATAAAAAATTGGTTTAAGAGTTGTTAATTGTTTCGCATTGTTCGATGTTAGTATGTATGGTTAGCACATATTTGTTATTGCTAAATGTTGGTAGAGGTATTTAAGTAATTGTACGGTTAAATTAGTTCTTAGTTAGTACATATTATTGATATGTTGTGTGTTAAAATAGGTACAAAGGTGTTATATTTTATTTGGATTATTAAACTAGTTGTTTGTTACTAATAGTTGTAAATTAGTACACGGCAATATAGTATAAGTTGTACTAGGGTAATTATCGAATGATTAAATGATTAAACGTGAGACTATTTGTCATGTTTTATCAGGATGTCAGGTGATATGCCTATTCGTCTGTATTATGGCGATGCTCCTATACAAATATGTGATAGCGGGGTGGATTTGACTGTATATGCCTTCCATGATACTAGTCTGAATGCACCGGAGCATATGGGTTTGAACGACGTGTTAGGGTGGTTGTATAATATGTTTGGGGTAGATCCAGTGCACGATAAATTTGTCATAAATGCCGTGTGGCCAGTGAGGGGTCAACATGGATGGCAGTGGAGAGTAGTGGAGGTTGCGTCAACTAGGAGTTGGAGGAAGTTTGTTAGTAAAGTAAGGGAGAAAGGCTATAGCCTGGCAATAGTGGTGCAGAAGACAACATGTGTTGATCGATCGGGGGAATCAAGTCATGCCGTGGTGGAAGAAACTCCGTTGGAAGGTGGACAAGCTGAAAATGTTTGGCAGACTGAGCAAGGTCGAGGGGAAGAAGTAGTAGAGGGTAATACACAAGGAGAGGTCATTGTTCGTGGTACTAATCGTGAGGCTAACGACTCGGACGATGAAGAACCGGATTCGCCTATGCGTGTTGATGCAGCGGAGGAGAATGAGGCGGTAGTGGATCAGATGGAAGTGGAAAACGAGGAATACCTTGCGCTTGTAGTGGAAGGAGAAGATACAACACTGTGGGACAACGAAACTAACATACCCGATGATTGGACGACCATATCAATGAGTCGTATGAAGGTAAACGATGGTTTAGATGCCCACTGGTGTTATGATAGTAAGCAGGTGAAAGTTGGACAGATGTTTCATGACAAAGGTCACTTACAAGATGCGGTGAAGAGGTGGGCATTTGTCCAGAAGCGTGAGTTCAGGGTGAAGGTTTCAAATAGTACGACGTATGACGTGAAGTGCATACAGGGTGGATGTCCTTGGAGAGTGCATGGTTACAAGCCACAACATGACACTTTATGGGTAGCTTCGAGGGTTGAGCAACATACGTGTTTGTTGGAGAATACCCGTCTGGTGCACAGAAACCTGACAGCGGCATTTGTGGCACAAATGGTATATTCAAAGGTGGTTAGAAAAACATCTTTGTCCCCTTTCACCATAATGCATGACGTTGAGAAAGAGTACGGATATGAGATATCGTACGACAAGGCTTGGAGGGCAAAACAGAAAGCATTGGAGATGAGGTTTGGAACTTATGAGGATTCTTATCACAATCTTCCCCCACTATTGGAGGTGATGCAGGCAAGAAACCCGGGCACACACATGGCTATTCTCGATGAGGTGAATGAATATGGGGAGAATGTTCTTCGTCGGGCTTTCTGGTCATTTGGGTGCATGATAGAGGCCTTTAGAAATTGCATTCCTTTGCTCTGTGTTGATGGCACTTTCATGACAGGCAAGTACAGAGGAACAATTCTAACCGCGATCGGAGTCGACGCGGATAGCCATGTCGTTCCTGTTGCTTTTGCATTTGTTGAAAGCGAGAACACATCAAGCTGGCTATGGTTTTTGCGGCACATTAAAATGTGTGTTGTTGAAAACAGACCAAATGTGTGTGTTCTGCATAACCGACACGCCGGTTTGCTATCAGCGATACAGAAGCTTCAAGAAGATATCACACAGTCCGTGCCATGGCAAGATTTACATAGCAGATGGTGCATGCGACATTTTGGGGCTAATTTTTATAGACAATTCAGGAGTAAGAGATTAATGGACCTGTTCAAGAAGTTATGCAAGCAGAATCAACAAAGAAAGTTTGATGCCATATGGGATCAACTGGATCGTTTGACCACTACACACATGGAAGAGGTTAGGAAAAAACCTATAGTTGCCAGACAGGAGGAGCCGGAGGGACTTGAACCCATTCCTAATGAAGCACCAAGTATTACTCGGCGCAGGAAGCGTGGAAGGGCCACGAAGTGCTTCACGGAGTGGGTAGAATTTGAGCCAAGGGAGAAATGGTCGTTGTTGTACGATACAGACGGATCGAGGTATGGTGTGATGACAACAAATCTTGCTGAAGTGTATAACTGGGTTATGAAGAATACACGACCTCTACCACTTGTTGCTATCCTGGAGGGCATCACGAGGGGTACACAGAAGTATCTCTGTAAAAGGTATTCCATGGCTAGTCTGAACCTCAGCAAACCCAGTGTTAAGTATAGCCCCGCTATTACACAGTACATGGATGAGAAAAGTAAGAAGGGAGGAATCCACAGAGTGTGGCCTGCTGGGAATAGAGAGTTGTTATTTGAGATACGACTTCGTGACAAGAGTGGTGTCGGCATTGGGACTACTGACATCACATTGGAATGCACGTTGTGGCCAGAGTATCCACAGTACAGTTGGGGGTCGGCGGTACTTGCGGCGACATATGCCGGACTGTGTGATGCTTGCGTGAGGAACAACAAGCAAAGTTCACTCCCTGGATGCCCGTTGCTACTTATGTTGTGGGCGCACGAGCGCTTCGACATTGGGAGGCCTCAGCTTGACTCGTACGCAAACTACGGTTTGCGAGAGATGTACAGGTCTGGTGTTGATGACATCGACGATCGTCCCACTATGGGATCCTTGTGGACACACCGTGAGGTATTTTTTGTTAAATTCGTTTATGTTATCATTATGAATACTAGTTCACAAACTTTCCTTATATGACTAATGAAAACTACTACTTGTTACAGCCGCAGTGGGTTAGCGGGACAACACGTCGTGTCTACACTCAGTTTGTAGCTGACTTTGATCAGCTTACGCCTGACCGTGTTCGGTGGACTCCCTACACTCAGCACGATGTCAATGATCGTGCACCGCACGGTCTCGCGGATCTTTGCACGCGAGATATGCAACTCTGGATGACGACTTGTCACCTCGTGGTGGACGTGCACGTCGAGCCACACAATGTCCACAGGGTTCTCAAACAGTTGGGCATGTATCAGGATTTCCCTCCGAGAGATGGTCGTCCTTTGGCTGATAGTCTTCATAGGTTAGTTCACATCACAGTTGTCTAATCCTACATTTTTAAAAATAAATCACTGCACAACATTTTTTCTGATGTGTGAATTTGTTGTTGTGCAGGTACTCCAGAAAGGGGCTCGGGCTTTCCTACGAGCTAGTTATTGTGACCACGGTTCAGCCGACGGTACAAGAGTGGGAGCACGCAGCTGATAACTTGGCACTTCAGACACCTCCAGACGATGGGAGTTATTATGGAGCTTACCTTCGTTGGTACCGCAGTGTTACACGATGGAGGTGTTTTCCTCCACAAGGAGATAGCACCGTCCCCCACCAGGCAGCGATTACTGACACGTTTGCCCCTCAGCCTAGATCAGCTTACAACTCAATGGTACGTGTTTATTTGTGGAATTTGAGCAACTAGTTCAATATTTTTAAAAAGTTAGCAAGTAGTTCAGTATGTCTAATAAATGTGCAATTGGTTCAACTAGTTCCTTTTCTTACATAAATGTGGAACTAGTTCAGTATTTATAAATGATGTGCAACTAGTTCATTATTTCTAACAAATGTGCATCTTGTTAAATACTCTTAATAAATGTGCAACTGGTTAAATAATTTTAATTGCCTTGATTATTTGTGGAACAGGCGGAATTTGTTGAGCACGTTCACGTGGAGTCCGACACCATGCTGCAAAGACTAGAGGCGAGACCTCCAGTCGTCAGGCCTGACGACGTGGCGAGCATCCTTCGCAACTTCCGTGCACGTGCTGCCGCACTACTACGTCGTGTCTCCTGTCGGAGCGCGTGTCACGCCCAGAAATTCTCAAACCAGAATTTCTAAGCTGAATGTGCATTAAATCCCTGTCCAGGACCAGCCAGGGTACACAAACGACAATTGTTGACATACAGATCCACGTCTTACAAAAATAGAAAAGATTATAAATGCAGCGGAAAAGATAAAAGCGAGCTAAACCGGGAAGCTTGACTTCAGCAGCGAGCGGCTCCACTCCACAGGCAATCCTTGACGGCAGCGACGAAACCAACTTTGACAAAACAGCTCCAACTAGGAAGATCTTCAGCTCTGGTGTGGGGGAAAAGAGAGCAAGACTGAGTACTACCCACTGTACTCAGCAAGTCATACCGGAAGAGGAGGTATGATGCAGGATATAACCAAAGGAGGCTAGAGGTTCTTTTGCATAAAGCTAGCATTTAAAAACAGTAGTTGAAGGCAGTAAAGCAGTTGTAGTAATTAATCAATATTAACCAAACACTGTCCAACGCTACACCACGTTGCAACAAGCCCAACCAACCACCTGAACTACACCAGTTCATTAAGCTAAACTAGGGATGAGACTAATCACGGTGAATCTGGTTGATCGCCCATAACCGCGGGCACGGCTATTCGAATAGTTTTACTCTGGCCAGAGGTGTACAACTGTACCCACAAGACACGATTCCACACATGTCGCCATGCCCCGAAGTATCACCATGATACTGCAAAGGGGGAAATCGTGACAAGACCCTCCACATAACCCTCCCCTAACCATCCACACCACGCTAAGGTTTCACCCCCACCCCTCAAAAGGCAGTGGGCGGTCCCCTCTTGCGCCGCGGTGAATCCGGCAGCTGGACAACCGGACACCCCGGCCGACCCAACTCCATCACGCCCACCCTCGCCACCGGTGCCTAGGAAAGGGTCGAGCTATACTTCAGATCAAGCAGTTACCCACTCCCGCTTGTGGTAAGCACGGTAAGTCTCCCAGGGTTTCCCGTGAACCGGTCCTTAATTGCCATGGGTGCGACCAGCAAAACCATGCACCCACAGCCCACCATTCAGTGTATTTTAATTAACTCACACCACTGCGGTGGCACCAACCTAAAGCTATGCCAATAGACAAAGTCTAAGTAATAATGTGATCCCTTTTTGTGTACTAGTTGAACTAAGCATGGCTAAGCATTTCCTAAACCAACATCTAATCATTTTGATACCCAGGTTATCAATGGCATATGGTAAACAATAAATGGCTGAGTAAAAGGACCCATCCCACATGATATTGTAAAAGAATGCAACATTTAATAGAAATGCGGGATATTTGTAAATTGGGCACAATATGATCAAACGTATTGCATGACTTGCCTTGCTCTCGCACTGATGGGACCTCAGCAACGTCTTCGAGAAACCGCGGATCGACGAAACGGCCGAAATCTACGCGACAAACAAAGCACACAAGCAAAACATGCTATAAGACTACAGAAACAGGAAACAAAACCATTTTTAATGGATTCTTTGCATTTTTCTTGATTTACTGAGACTTGAATGGACTTAAACGAAGCTCGGATGAATTACTTATGAATTTTAGAAGATAAACTGTGTTTTTACTAATAAAGAAAAGTCCTTAATTAATTATTGCGCAATATTGCCCCAGGGCTGACGTCAGCGAAGGGGAGGGGGTGGCGCCGACAGGCGGGCCCCACTGGTCAGCGGCACTAAGAGAGGGAGAGGGGGCGGCTGGCAAGCGGGCCCCACTGGCAGTGGCTCAAGGGGGAAAGGAGAGGGAGGCGCCGGCATGTGGGCCCCACCAGGCGGTGGCTCAAAGGGGAGGCGAGGGAGGCGCCGGCCGGGCTCGGCTCGGCCTCAAAGCCGACCGGCGGCCATGGCGACCGACGGCGACACGCGCGGTCACCGGCGGTGACCGGCGGCGCGGGAGACGGCGGCGGCCAGTGCGAAGGCGGCGGCGGCGGCCGAAGATGACGGCACACGCGCGGAGGGCGGCGACGCTCATGGGAGAGAGGGAAGGAAGGAGGAGAGGGGATTCCTCACCGGCGAACACGGCGGCCGGCGCGAAGGAAGAAAACGGCGGCGACGACCGGTGATGCCGAGGCGCGAACGGGCGGCGGCGACACCCTAGGAGAAGATGGAGAGGCGTTAGGAGAGGAGACGACGACCACGGCGGCTTGAATTGCCGGCCGGAGATGGAGGGGAGGGAAAAACTCACCGGCTCGCGAGGGGAGAGGTGCTCCGGTGGGATTCCGGCGACGCGAGGCGGCGGCCGGGAAAACTCTTGCAGCGGCGAAGCTAACGGCGGCGGCGGTTTGGCGCGGCGGCGACTCTAGCGGCGGCGGCTCGCGGCCGAAGGCGGCGGCAAGCGGCGGAGCTCGGGTGCGCGGCGCGAGGGCGGTAGACGGCACGGGAGAGCGCGGCGAGTGCGAAAAACGAGAGAGGAAGACGCGGGGAACGATTTATAGGCGGAGGGGGAGGCGGACGTGGCCGGGGAGGTGGCCGATTTGCCCGGCGATGTGGGGGAGTGGGGAGGAAGAGAGAGAGAGAGAGGGGGATTCAAATCCCCCACCACTTGCGGGCGCGCGCGCGCGCGGGAGATGTGGGGGAAGGGGCGGCGACGTGGGCGCGAGGTGCGGGAGCGGCGCGGCGTGGGCGCGGGAAGAGCGGAGGAGGCGGCGTCGTGGCGGATTCGGCGGCGGTTGCCGTCGGAGGCGGGTGGCTGGAGGAAGGGGACGACCTGACAGGTGGGCCCCACCTGTCAGCGTCCCGGAGAGAGGAGGAAGGAGAACGGGCCGGCCCACAAGGGGAGGCCGAGCGCGGGCGACGGGTGGAGTGGACTGGGCCGACGGCCCAATAGAGAAAAAGGAAGGAAAAGAAAAGGAAAAAGAAGAAAGGATTTTTCCTGGGATTAAAAATTGCACTTTGGTGATTTTTAATTGGTTAAAATTATTTCCAAGGCTCTGAAAATTCCACTAAAAATCCTGTTAATATATTGTGACATGTAGAATCCAAGAAAAATTCCACATGCCGATTCCGATTATTATTTGCATTTATTAATTAGGGAATTAGCTCTAGGTTAATTAAGATAATTTCTTCGGACGATTTATTTAGCCAATTTTTTTAAAGCAAGCAAAAGGGGGAAAACTTCAGGGCGTGACAGCGCGGCAGATGTGGTGCAGACGTCAGGCCGACGGCCATCACCACCACTACCCCGACAATCCAGCGTGGATCGGAGTGGTCCATCCTCTTCATGTCGCGGGTACGAAGCGGCCCACACATCTCACGGTCGTCCTTCCTTTCAGCACACCCCAGCACCGGAGTACACCAGGGGGTCAGCCGGATCAGGGGTACCCACGTCGAGCACGGCACCACCACGTCCGCAGGTATTCCAAACTCCGCCTTATGTTTACCCCTCGCAGGGAGCATCTGGGTCGGCACACTTCCCTTACATGCCAACGGGGGACAACGTGTTGAACACACCAGCATGGGGACTTCATATCACTCCGCGTGCGCCAGAGCAGGGCCACACACAGCACACATGTAAGTCATTTTAAACAATAACACGCTTTAGTTTCTAATTATATGTATCGTTACTAACTACGCCATATTTTTTGGTTCCTCCCTCTTGTGCAAACAGACGATGAGTACGGTTCGGCGTCGACGCATCACGGAATGCCTGCTTACTCCCCTCGCACAGCATTCATTGAGGACTTCTTTTCCACTGATCCTCCCCAGGGGGAAGTAGGGATGGATTACTGGCACGCAGCACCTCAGGTCACACAGCCGACGCAGGAGACGGAGGCCGGTCAGGGGCCAGACGTGACACCACAGCAGGCAGCTAGAGATAGGCACCCCCCTGATAATTTGACATATCTCACTGAGCAGATTAGGCGTAGGAAGAAGGGAGGACCTAGCAAGCGTGCGAAGGGCACTAATCGTCCTTGACTTATCTATTTGTATTAAACTTTTAGTCATTTCTGTTCTGTCCGTACTATTTGAGAAACACTTTACGATTAACTTAGTACTATCAGTACTATTTCATAAACTTCTTCGGATAATTACTCAGTAGCATACCCTTCGAATGAATCATGACAAATTATCATTCAAATATACAAATAATGAAACTAAATAATTCAAATATTTTAACCAACAAATAAATACTACAATTTCTGACCAAACATTATCAAAACCCTAAATCATATACATATAACATTACAAAAATATTTTCCTTTCTTACACACTAAAATAAATTACATATTATTAAAAAAATAACTTATTACAAATAAATGGAGAACGCGACCCTGTCGAACTGCGCCAGTTCGACGGATATCCTGTCGAACAGGGGCAGTTCGACAGCCCCCTGTCGAACAGGGGCAGTTCAACAGCCCTGCCTGTCGAACGGGGGATGTTCGACAGGTCCTGTTGAACGGCAGCCTTCCGATCTCCTCGCCAGTCGCGCTCTGGCCGTTCGATAGGCGCCCTATCGAACTGCACCCGTTCGACAGGGACCTATTTTCGCGATTTTCCCCGGTTGACCACTACTTTTGCGATTTTCCATAAAAATAATATTAATTCTCAAAAAAATGGGGGCCTTTCTCCAAACAGATTTGTGGAGGTTCACCGAAGGGTTTTCCTTTGTTACATTTTTTTTCTTTCGAAGATAATAAAAGCTTTACATCAAAGTAATACGGTTCTATCTTTCTTTTTGGCAATTGTATCGGGAGTGACGATATACCAAAATTTTGATCATATTTTTGAATTTTTTTTAACAAATTTTGGTCAAATTAAAAAAAAATATTACTAAATTCACAAAAAAAAAGAAAAAAATTAAAAATTTCGGCCGAAATAATATCATATCGAGTAAGTCCAATAGAACCGAATTTTCCAAAATTTTGGGAATTTCGTTCGGGAATCTTGAACCCTGCTGAATACAGCCTAAGAATACTCACAACCATAGATACACACAGGCAACTCACATGCACACTAGACAGACACTCATATTATTGGTATAAAAAAACTCCTTCACCATCCTCTCCATTTTATAAACATAAGTACGAGCTTTTAACACGCACTTAAATAAACGGGGATGTTCACTAAAGAATTTCAGCGGGTTACATAGAGAGAATGCTTTTCGTTCGCATACATCCACAAGCATAAGCATCCATCCTCTCCGTTTCGTTTTGTTTGTCGTTTCCGACAGCTTCGGCGAGATTAAGGTTGACGTGAATTTACCCTTTTGCCCTTCCTCTTCACTGATTCATTCCCCTTCCCTTCTACGCGTGACGGCGGCGGTGCCCCATCCCGATCCCGAGCGTCGTGGCAGGGCCGACGGCGGGGACGGCGGTGCTCTTCCCCACCACCCCTGTCGCGGCTTCCCCTTCCCACGGGCAGCGGCGCCGGCATCCTGCTTCCCCCCGCCGGTGAGCACACCCTTCTCTTTCCCCTCTTCCCACACCTTCTCTCACCTCCCTCCCGTCTCTTCGCGAGCCTGCGCCCACCGCCGCCGGCGAAGTCGCCGGCCACCGCATCCCGCCGCCGCTCTCCGGCTACTAGGGGTATCTGGCCGACGCATCCTCTCCTCCGAAGCTGTAGAGTAGTGTAGTGGCGGGTGGCGTTCTTTGCGATTTGCCACCACCGGGCAGCGCCGCTGGCTCGCCATCGCCGGAGCCCAGCAAGAAGCTGGCGTACTGAGATTTTGGTCAGGGTAGTACTCACACTGCGGCACTGCCAAGTCCGGCGGCTCGTTGGAGGTTTAGCATATTGGGTTTAGATGATGCTGATCACGTTCAAGATGATGATGATGATGATGATGATGATGATGATGATGATGATAATGAATTGATGTTGGTTTAATAAGGTTTTAGTGGGTGGTGATTAAGGTTTGATCTTGAATTGTTCATGTGGCATTAGCTTTTGATCTTTTGATTATTCGCAATATTACTTGTAGATTTGCTCTGAATTTTTGCAAGGTGTGTTGCAGATAATTCTTCATTTTGCAGGAACGATTTGCTTCTAATAAAATGCTTAGTGTGACAATGACCATCATGGCACCAATATTTCACTTGTAATTAGCAGTTTTACCTAGGTAATCTGTGACTAATGCAATGCTGACACTACAGTTGAGCTAGATCAGTGGATAAAGTAGATATTATCTGAACATTATTTGTGCCTAATGTAATGCTGACACTATAGTTGAGCTACACCAGCAGAACTAAATTAAAATGATAAATTCTATCTGATTCCTGGACAACAGTGTATGGTTTACGGAGTAGTTTCTTTGAATTGATCGGTTGTTGTTTACCATGTGTTTCTTGTCTTCTGGTATTTTTTACCATGTTTATTTGGTTGTTCATTTCTTGTCCGTTCTTGATTTTGTATGGAAGATACTGGGTGTTCTTCCTGGACGCCGTTGGTCATGACGAAGGAGGAGGGCAGGGTAGGTAGACGTCGCAAATTTGTCACACCATGGAAGAAAGCGGCTCAGGAGGTCGGCGACGGCGGTGCAGAGGATCGTGTCGAGCGCCTCGCCGCCGCGGCTTCGTCCTCAACTGCTCTCTCTCCAAGGTTCGTATTCGATTTTTTTTCGATGATGTATTTTGTGTTCCTAAAATGTGTTATTTTCAGGAAAACTCTATAGATGCTCACTATTGCGAGGTTAAATGAATTTTCACATCTAACCTCACATAGTTCAGTTCATGGCTACTGCTTGTGCAAAATTCGATTAATTAGAGCAAGGAAATAGCACTGTATTTCTATTTACAGGGAGCTGTTGCTGGTTGTTCTAGTTTATGCAAACATTTAGCATAAGTCTTTTCCTTATCTTATTGCTTCATAAATTGGAGTTCTTGTTATTGTATAATTTCTTGTTAGATCACATGGTTGTCTGTCCAGTTATGCTATACAACCAGTACTAGATGTCTTACAAAATGGATGCTTTTACCTTTTCTCAGAACCTTACTATGCTTTTCACTCTTAACATTTGATGCAACTTATAATCCAAAATGTGCATTCATGACAACTTCGTTGCAACACCTTTTGCAGGGTTACACTAGATGGGTCCAATGTTGGAGGGAAAAGAGGCAAAAAAAGGAAGTCTCCCTGCGTGGCAATGCCATTCTTTAGAACCCCGTTGAGCAGAATGTTACTGTCCCCTAGCATACGGATAAGGTCTCCTTCTATACAACAACGAACATCACCTTCTGCTACAACCCATGGAATTTGTCAAGGTCGAGAGCAAAGAACAATGGATATTGATTTAAATTTGGAACCGGGAGATACATATGCTGCCATAGATCCCGGAGAGGCTGGATTTGATCACAGTGCTGCCACAGATGCTCAAGGCAATGGAGAGGCTGGATTCGATCACAGTGCTGCCACAGATGCTCAAGGCAATGGAGAGGCTGGATTTGATCCCTTCGATTCAAATGCTGATGATGATGTCCTAGTCACTCTAGAGGAGATAGGTGTTGACCCTGGCCAGGAGAATGTACAGCCTCAGTTTGATCCTTTCTTCGATTCTGATGTTGATGATGCTATCCTAGTTCCTCAGGAGAATACACACAAGAATGTCGTGCTTGATAATGACAAACAGAGAGCAATCTTTGACGCCATGCTTGTAAAGGCAAGAAAAGGATATTTGAAGGGCCATGAGAGCAAGGAGGTTTCAGCTAAATTCTCGGTGCCTATCAGGACAGTACAGCGGATATGGAAAAAAGGCAAAAGCTGTTTGGATCAAGGTATTTCAGTTGATGTTGCGAGTGGAAGATCTAGGTGTGGCAGAAAGAAGAAGGTGGTGGATGTGTCCTGTCTCGAAGATATTTCAATATTGAGCCGCACCACAATACAGGATGTAGCTACTCAACTTGGTGTTAGCACGAGTAAGGTCTACAGAATGAAAAAAGAGGGTGCTATAAAGCGTGTATCTAGCTCATTGGATCCCCACTTGACAGACCAACACAAAATTGATCGGCTGAAGTGGTGTATTGAAATGCTTGACCCAAGGAGTGTGCCTCACAATCTTGTCTTCAAACCACTGTTTGATTTCATTTTCATAGATGAGAAGTGGTTCAACATTACGAGGAAGACTGTGCGATATTACGTAGCTCCAACTGCCTCGCGTCGCATCAGGACAATTCAAAACAAAAACTTCATCCCAAAAATAATGATCTTAACAGCTCTCGCCAGACCAAGGTTTGACTCAAATGGAAAATGCATCTTTGATGGAAAAATTGGATGTTTTCCTTTTGTGACATACACAGCTGCAAAGAGGTCAAGTGTGAACCGTCCTGCAGGGACAATCGAGATGAAGCCCATTGAGTCAATCACAAAGGAGGTAATCCGAAGCTTCATGATAGAAAAGGTATTGCCAGCTGTTCGGGCTAAGTGGCCTCGTGAAGACGCTGGCAAACCTATATACATCCAGCAGGATAATGCTCGGCCTCATATTGCACCGGACGACAGAATGTTTTGTGAGGCCGCGAAGCAAGACGGCTTTAACATCAAACTTGTTTGCCAGCCGACAAATTCCCCAGATTTGAATGTCTTGGATCTGGGTTTCTTCAACTCCATTCAGTCCATCCAGTACAAATCAGTCTCAACAACAACAGAAGAACTTGTAGCCGCCATCGATCGAGCATTTGAAGATTATCCAGTGAGGCTATCAAACAGGATTTTCTTGTCTCTTCACGCATGCATGAGGGAAGTCATAGAAGTACTCGGTGACAACTCCTATGATCTTCCACACATAAAAAAAGGAGTGCTTGAAAGGCAAGGTCGCCTTCCTTTGCAACTAAGGTGTGATGCTAAGTCAGTAAATAATGCTAACAATTATCTCAGGTAAACTACTTTGGTTATATTTTATTTTCATGAAAATCGCTTCATGTGCCTAACTAGTTTGATGTGTGCTAATTAGTGGGATTCTTTTTACTCCTTTTCAGGACCATGGCAGATACCTGATATGAATTTGTTTGTTGCTGCAGCAGGGTGCGGATATGAAATTGCTGCTAAGCTAATCTGAAATTTTTGGTGTTGCTGCTGTTGCTGTTGCTGCTGTTGTTGATATCTGAAATTGTTGGTGTTACTGCTGTTGCTGATATCTGAAATTGTTGGTGCTGTTGTTGATCTGAACAGAATGAATTGGAGGCTTTCTTTTTTTTCTCTCTTTTTCTAGAAAGTAGCCCATGTGTGCAGTCATTCTGTGCAGAACATGTCCTTTGATTTTTGAGAAAGCAGGAGGATATATGGACCTGAATATGTCCTTTGATTTTTTTTATTAGTATTTTTATTTCACATGAACACATTAGCTAAGCTTATCTAAGATCAATGGTGTGAACTGTCAATGGTCCTTTGATATAATTACAGACTAGCTATCTCAATTTACAAGAAACAGCAACTGGGATGGCAGCAGCCACTTTACAAGCTCTGTGTCTGAATACTCTGTTTACAGACTAGCTATCTCAATTTACAAGAAACATCAGCTGGGATGGCAGCAGCCACTTTACAAGCTTGGTGTGCATCTCTGAATCTGTATCTCAAGTTCCAATTTTTGTTTCCAATTTCTCATTATAACATCCAAAATTCCCACGCATATTACATCACTGACAGTACTAAGCACTAATCATCTGATCAAATACACAACAATCAGTCCCCAATGAACACGACCAGAATTTCCCAGAAACAGAAAAATTTCCCCTTCGATGAACATCAAATAGCCAAGCAAATGCAATGTGCATTCTCTAAAAAACGAACATCAACAATCAACATACGGCTAACCAAATCAGACAATCTGCAGGCCGTTCAGTAGCTTAATTTGCAATCAAGTGCACAGCTATCTTAACCGGATGAAATAATCAGGTAAATTCTGGACATCCAGCTGAAGAAAGAAAAAAGAAAGGAGGAGACTTGTGGCAATGGAGCTTTTCGAAGCCCGGCGATCTCCTGCACCAACGAGACGTGCACCAGCACCGTCCTCCACGCCATGTATCAGCCTGCGAACCCGCCGCCGCCGCGAGCAGCGAACGAAAGAATCAGGGAAAAGCCCTCGAGCCAAAGCCGAATCGAGAGGAGGAGAGGGCAGCCGTACTGAGGGCGATGATGGAGAGGACGAAGGCAAAGGCGAGGAGCGGCCGGAGGACGGAAGACGACGGCGATCTCCCACGCTGCCGCCGCCAGCGTGGCTCCTCCTCCGGCCATGGTGCCGCGGCGGCGCTTCGTCGGCGGAAGGGGACTATGCGCGTGGGAGGCGGCGCCGGACTTGAGCGCCATGCGTGGAGGGCCTCGCCGTGGCAGGGGCAGGAGGACCGCCGGCGGAGGAGCTCCTCCTGCTTCTCCGCGCCGCCGACTGAGGGGTAAAGATGGAAACGGTATCGGCCGGTGTACTACGACGTCAAACATTTTGACTCTTTTTGAAATGAGCTACAGCGACAAACAAAACGAAACGGAGGGAGTAGTACGTAAGAAAACGCTCACTTGCAAGCTGGAGTACAGTGTAGTAGGGAATTTTTGTGGGGTTGGTAAAATGCACCTCAATAGGAAAGGCATTCTGTCATCTAACGGCCTAACGATGAGAGATGAAAGCTAGGAGAAACAAGGTCCACTAAACTTCCTCCAAACTCCCAACTTTCCATCACATCATATCACATCCAAAACTTTCTTACTTAAATAAACTCCTAACTTTTTTTTCAAACTACCAACTTTCTCTAAACTTCTCTCCGATTTCAAGAACTAAACACAGCCCAAGTGAGATTAGAGATTGAGTTATAACGACTCGTATTGTTATGGCTAACATTTGAAGCGGTTTCCACAATAATGAGGCTCAAGGAATTGATGAGGAGACATACAAGTGGTGGAGCACATGGTTTAATTCATGCAAAGTAATTAACTTTTTTGGGACTTGACACGTGTGAACGAGTTTATATGTAGGTGATTTTAACAATGAGATGCTGCATTTTAAGCTGGACTTAATTTCAGTAGCCTCTTTTTTTTTTTCCAGAAAGTCAGACAGACAGACACCATGCGACAAGATTTTGTAATAATAGGTTTCACCTAACATGGGGCTAATCAGACATGGGCTCCATCCATTGTAGGTGCACGGGTATCCTGCTTAAATAATGCTAATGACGACGCTGGTCTCAAATAAACAAAATTAGCTATCGACTAAACGTAAAATGTCAAAAAAAGGCGACAACATAGCACCATTCTTCGGAAATTTACAATTGAAAAACCATAGATTTGACCCAACAAAGTCCATGAAAAAGGGGTTGTTTTAAGTTTTATCATCACCAATCAAAATTTGGGCATTGACCGGTCAAGACAGATATATAACTCCAGTCAACATAGGATTCTAGACAGAGGCACACCAGTTTAAATGAAGTCTCTGAACTTCTGAAGTCTGAAAGCCTGACTGACGGAATAAATGGACCAGGAAGGACCAAAGCAAAGCACACCATCTTGTGCAGCATCTGCCACCACAATTGAGAAACGTTTGCCACAGCATCAGCAAAAAGAAAGAAAGGGACCTTAGATGAAGCTCAAAGCCCTTTACAATACTAAAAATAATGTTTTTGAATCTGATCACTTATCACCAGTTAACATCACGGCCTCATGGCTGGTTCAAGAATCTACAGAATCACTCTTGAATCTGGTCATCTTTCACCAGTTAACATCATGGGTTCATGGTCGGTTAGAGATTGCAGAATCACTCCTACCAACAAACATGTCACGTTAGTCATTAGTTGCATACTTCCTAGTTGTCATGACACGCCGCCACTGCTCGTCCAGCCAGGAAAATCCACTAGGTGACAAGCTCTCATCAACTTGGACGGACAGACGGACAGTTCCACTTGCCATTGTCACCGTCCACCATGAGTGAAATCAGTACAGCACTACAGCTTAAACTTCGCACAATCCACTGCTCGATCAGCGCGATGAGGTTGTTCAAGCAGACCCGCACCAACCTGGTCGGCATGCTGTGTACGTTCTGCCTGACATATTTCAAAGTTTTGATCAAGTTGCAGAAGTCCACATAAAATTCCAGTTCTCTGGTGGGCATCCTGTTTCACACCAAATGAACTAACATCTCATCTAAAAAAAAGAGTCATTTTGATATTTCTTCCTCGTCATTTTCTGCTGACAAGAACTCAACCATTTGCATTCCCCTTCCAGCAACAGCAACCCAGTATTTCCTCTCTGCACTGAAAATACAACAATCGTGAGAGTTCAGAAGACAATTGATCATAAGGAAATCATATGCACACAGAAAAGCCTCACCGGTCATGTACAACATCCAAAGTTTCTGGCTCAGGTACGCTGATGATAGCATGGGAATACTCAGTGAATTTGCCAGATGACTCCATCTTCCAACATCTTACTCTTTGATCAAGGCCAGTAGAGAAAGCCCATATGCCATCCGTCCAGATGCCTACGACAAGCATGCAAATGCATAAGTTACTTCATCAAAGCAGGATTAAAGTGAAAGGGATAAGTTACTAAATTGGAACTAACAGTGACAGACCTTTAACTGCTGAACTGTGGGCAGAAGGAACCCTATGTTGACAAATAATTTTAACTGCACCATTGTCAGGTGAGTCTAGGCTTGTATTTATTGCGCAATCCTGAAGAGATCCTAATGTAAAACTGAAACAGTGAACAGCTTGATCATCCCCACCGCTTATGACACAGTAAGACATGCCAGGTGTCGAGTACGAGCAAGCCCTCATCTCTGAGACATGGAGGCAGTTGACGCCTGACTGGTGAACACCGGAGAATCTGTGCATTGGTGTCACTTCAGGTATATTACACGATTGCAAATTTGAGAATGCATAGTTCTGGTTTGTGGCATCAGTTTCTTCCACATTAGAAGTTTCAGATGTATTTTCAGTGGCATTTGGAGTATTCGGGATGCTCCCATCAGGGATCGATGTCTCTTTATTTATCTTTTTCAAAGAACGGCCCGGCAGTGTTCTCCACCTGCGCCGACCGCCTTGACTTCCTCTTCCTGTTCTGGGCCGCTTTTGGCAATCAATAACCATGTGTGGTTGAGTCTCTGATACTAGTTGCATAAATCCATGAATAGTATCTGTAAGGTCCCAGAAAGTAATGCTACCATCTGTAGATCCACTCACAACAATGTATGTATCTCCATGGTCTGCGGTGTCTGAAAACCAGAGTTAGAACTTCATTATACTGAAAATCATTATCAGACACCTTTCCCTCAAAACCTCCACCCCACACACCCACACAAAGAAAAAGTAAAAGCAAAACAAAAACAGAACTGGCCTTTGCAGTTGACACTAGCTGCAGCAATAATATGCTTGAGCACCAGAACTGGTGATCCCTGTGGAGCCAACAAGGCAACATCAAACCTGTACACAAAAGGAACAGCTGGTTATACAGCCAATAATACTACAAAATAGAAACTTCAGTTTACAAATTTATAGTGCATACCATAGCCTAGAAGGCAAAAGAAGAGCACGGAGCACGACTGTAGCGTCAGAGCAAGCAGCAACAACAAAACACACTGTCGAACTGACAAAAAAGGAAGCGGTTAAGATTATCCTTGTTATTTCAAGAGGATACAAAAGGATACGCTAGACCCTATGTTGTCAGCAGTGCACTAGTGTAGATTATCAAGTCTTACTTGGTGGAAGGATGTTCCAAAAGAAATGCTGTAACCGAAAGATAACGCCAGTCATTTTCCAGCTGATCCACAATAAACTGGTTGGGTTGCATCATAGAGGAATCCCCTTCCTCATTATTATTTTTTACATTGCCAGTTTTCAACCTATTGGTAAGCTTTGGAGGCATGTGGGTAGAAAGCCATTGAAATGTCATGGCTGAATCACCTTTCAAGCTTTGCTTGGAGTCTACATCTAAGCCACTAGAACAGATATGTCTATTTTCTGCAACCTTAGGCTGTAAAACCCAAGTAGTCAGGACTTGCTTTGATCCAACGGATATTAATAAGGAAATGTTATCCTTGTTTTTGACTAAAGTGTCATCAGAGTTGCCATTGGGGATGATGTTACATGATTTATCTAACGATGTGTAGCCCTTCTGCACGAAGCATGTCGCTCTCACAGCTGATCCACCAACATGCTCCCCCAGCAGCTTGGAGGAACACCATTTTCCAGCACTATTAATTGAGTTCCTGTAACAAACATCGAGACCAAAAGGTATCATTTAAATCCTTTCAAAAAATTATACCGTTTACAGAACACCTGAAATGAACAGCTATGCTTTTTCAACACTGCATAGAATAGAGAACCAGAAAGTTACATCGAGCCGTGCTAGATGCTTGTGTATCAAAGACAAATCATTACCCTGTAAGTCGCATGGTTCCATCTTCACATCCTGTTGCAATATACAGATTTGAGCTCTTCTCAGGATTTGAATAGCCTGCTGGATCTATGAAGCACAAAGAGTGCACTTCTCTTCCATGGAACTGCATATGGAAAACTTGAGGAAGCAATTTCTTGTCTTGACATGGTGCCCAGTGCCTATGAATGTGAATGTTATGATCCTGCTTGAAAACCAACAGGATCAATTTAACTATGTGAGCAAAAATATATAGCACCTCAGGTGACTCACTTTTATAATTTAATAATCCACACACAGTAAGGAGTATAGAGTGGTCAGCACACTAAGAGCCATATAAATGCAATCTAAACTTGCAAATACAGCACGACAAAGAGAGAACGAACCACAAGCAGGGGAAACACAAACCTTAACAAAGGCAAAACAATTCTGATACTCAGGGACCATGCCAAGATAATATGAATAAGGACGGCGCCACCCTCCACAGGATATTTGAAGCAGCTACAGAAGACGAAAATTCAGAATAACAGATTAAGTGAACTATTGGTTCTATGTTCTAATGTCCCAATTCATACAGCATGTACCTACTTACCTTTGTTTCATTTTCAAGGTCCCAAATGATAAAATCGGCAGAAGTGAAACCTATTGCATAGGTGCTAAGCAATTGCTTTTCTGAGGCATGAGGAGGAAAGATGGATTGAACGGTGCCCAACTCTTTTACTTGTCTCATTCCAAAAAATTCAATCTTTTGCACATTTCTGTCATACTTGAAAAAGCAAATGCAACCGTCTCCCCCTGTCTATAAAATGTTCAAGGATCAGTAGTGAATGCCAAGCTAAGTTCATGAACTCAATCAAAGGAATAACAAAAGCACTCTAAACGTACGGTGTGAATTTGAAGATGATCAGAAGTTGAGGTAATTATACGAACACTTGTGACACTAGAAATTCCATGAGCTCCTTTAAAACGATCACATGAAGGCATATTCTGTTGCGTCCCACAGCTCTCATGTTCTACCAGTACTTTAGGGAAATGAAAGGCAGTTATGTTACCCTTCTTATCACCAGCTACAAGGACCTGCATGGAATAAGAGAAACGTCACATGTCACAGTTGCATATGTTTTGTCCATGAAAACTATGTTCAAGTTATTTCATTCTTTCTGGCAGGGTCATAGCATTCTCTTCTACCAAACAGGCTACCAAATAATTTTTTTCCTTATTTGGCTCTTCTTTCTGCTTGGTATGAATCAGGCACTAGCATTCTAGCTACATAACACTATACAATCAACATTCCTACAACCATAACATTACCATCTGCTGCTCACACAATATTACATCAGTCAGCAATTCAGCATGTTTGACTTTTCCTTCAAAGAGAAGGTGGAAAGTTCTAAAATAGTTACCTCGTCCTGAGGAAACGCATCTAAGCACATGATTCTTGCCCCAAAGGAAGATTCAAACACAGCAATAAGAGGAACCTTCTGAGATGTAGTGATATCAAGGGTATTTGAAAAAAGGGCATTCCTTATGTCCCATAACTTAAGCACACCTCTAGGATCAGCTGTGAAAATGTGTCTGCAAAGGAGAAGGGAAATTGGCGAGAACAATGAATGCCTGCCGACTGAAGTGTTTAAGTTAAAAAAAAAAAGATCAGCCATTCCACAGACCTACATTCAAGAGATTTGCACCAGTATACTCCTAGTAGCTGCCTATCTTTTTCTGCTGGCCAGGTAAAAGATGAATTCACTTTAGGTCCAAGATCACAGGCAGTTAAATGGACAACAGTAACATTTCCACGTCCATCTCCAAGGGCAATGATATCATCCCTATTCAGTGAAATATCTGAGTGCATTACCATAACATCCATGCAAATAATCGGTGCCACCTCAGCAACTTGAGTAACCTTGGTCCATCTTACATTGTTGGAATTAGAGAGCTCAGCATGATGCAGATATCCATTGTTTGTGGCAACATAGAGATCATTTTCTTTTACAAAGTGTAGGTATCGTACATACTCACTTTTGCTGTGATGAACCAAACAAATAATTACTTTCACTGGCACGCTACAAAACTACAGAAAATAGAGATAACATGTAGATTATGACAAATCACAGAAACACCATACCTGTCCATGGGCCCATACTGTCCTGACACTGTAGGGGATGATATTGAAAAGACCTCAGAATCATAATTGACATCGTCTGAGACCACCTTGTCTTCCATTTTGTCATGACAAGATGAGTTATAAAGATGGTGCACTTTGATGGCTGAATCAAACCCAGCAGTGGCAAGCAGTAGTGTGCTTGGATCATATAAACACCGCCATATTCCTCGGCCGCTGTAACATGGAAGCAGCACCGCAAATTTAAGTCATCCTAACGGAGACATTTCTTCCCGTCCAAATTGTTAAACTCCAGCTAACAATCTAACTAAGTGCTCTACCCAACTTACATGTGTTCCCTGAACTTCTTGATTAGCTTTCCGTCCATAGCCCAGATGCAACAAGAACAATCCTCGCCGACTGTAATAACTAACTAAAAGGCCGGTTCAGTTGGAAACATCAAGATAAGCTCAGCTAGAAACTTAAACTATATTCAAGTTACAAAAAAAAAAGTTTGGTCAACTTACAGAATTAGATACATAGCAATCCCATATTCTAGCACTATGCCCAAAAAGTGTGAGTTTCGGTATAATCTGAACATCATTTTGTCCATCTGCCTTATTGACAAAGTTCTGTGACTGAGAACTCAACATCCAGATGCGAGCACTGCCATAACAACGAAGCTAGGTAGATGATACAAGTAATACGGAAGACAGAAGCGTCGAAACAAAAAAATGTTCCAGAAGCCCGATAAGTAAGCAAAGAAAATCCAGTGTAAAGAATGCAGAGGGAAGTGAGGGAAAATGAACCAACCTACGGTCATCGGAAACAGACATGAACTTTGATCCATCAGAGGACCAAGCTATTCTAAATATTGAACCTTCATGTTCCTTTAACCTTCCAAGATGAATTGTTATATATTGCTTATCACTAATATGCATATTCTCATAGTCCTCTACACCGAGAGTGTTGCTCTTATATGAGCATAACAAGGATTTTTCCAGAGCTCGGGGTACAATTTTCCAAATAAGAATCTGCGAAATAAAGTTACTACTCAGAGCGAATTTCTATATAATAAAACTCTCCCTAAACCAAAGAGTTCTTTTTATCTCAAGCTTTACTTGGCGTAGAGTGGAGCTGAAAGAGAAACAGCTCAGAGCCTGCAAAAACATACCTCATTTAAAATTGTTCCAGAAGCCACGAGAAGAGATTCAAGAGAGTTTCCCCACATTCTCATCGAATACAGTAGGCACTTCTCTGCATCCGGAAAACAATACCAGAATCAAATGTCAACCGAGCTTTGAGCACACAGAAGATACCATATCTAGTAAGGACAAACGGAACACCGAGATGCTCAATTGCTCATCTAACCTGGCGATTTCACTCGGGCATGCAACACACGCTGGCTCAAATCCCATAATGCCACTGAATTGTCACTCAAACCGATCGCGAGCAGCCCATCAGCCTGCTCCCAGATCAAATTAACCACCATTAAGTAAATAGTGGTTTTCATCACAGAGGCAAGTAGCTAAGAGCCTTGGAGAGAGAGAGCTAAGCTTGATACCTCCAGGAAGCAGGCGTCCAGCACCCAGTGATCAAATCCGGGGAGCCTCTGCTCCAACTCCAACCGCACGCCGCACGCTTCGCCATCCTCGAAGTCGGCGCGAATCCTGAAAATCTTCACCCTCCTCTCACCGAACACCAACACGGTGACATCGCCAGGAGACGGGCCGTCCGGGCAGCGGGGCTGGATGCCGTGGACGCGGACGCCGTCGAACACTTGGAAGGAGGCGACAAGCCTGGCGGCGTCGACGTCGTAGACGAGCAGCTCCGATCCGGTGCCTGCAGCAGCAACGCGAGCAGCACATCACCCACCCATTCAGTGATGGAAACACGCACGGAGAAAGGAGGTGGAGGTGATACCGGCGAGGAGAAGAGGGCGGGGGGAGGAGGGGAGGAAGGAGAGCGCGGAGACGTCGCCGAGGTAGGAGCCCGGCCGCAGGTGGTCGCCGGCGGCCATGGGGAGGAGGAGGAGGAGCCGAGCTTGGAGTAGGGTTTTTTTTGGGGGTTTAGGCCATGGCCCGCTTGGGCTTTGGGCTTTGATCGAGAGAAGAGATTCCGGTTGGGTTCTGTGAAACGGTGAGCTTCTACAGTTGCATTTGCATAGCAGATGTTTCTCTTCATTCTCTCTTATCTATACTACTATATCTGTTTAAATCGTTTTTTTATTTTTCTTTAAATCAAACTTCTATAGTTTTTGATCAAGTTTATATAACAATATAACAATATTTTAAACATAAAACAAAGAAACTATTAAAATATATTCGATATTAGATTTAATAAAACTAATTTGGTACTATAATTGTTGCTATTTTATTTTATAAACTTGGTCAAACTTTCAAGTTTGATTTTTAAAAAATCAAAGCGGGTAGTATGCTTCGTTGCTTGCAAGTTATTTTGCTCTTGCCAGATTTCTTCCTGAAAATCCCAAGGAATTTACAATTTTTCCAGAGGCGAGATTGAATCTAAACTGGTGGGGTTCCAGAAATCTTCATCAAACTTCAAAGCCGGTTCAAAAATGCCACCGAAAAACGCACCCTTTGATGTTGTACTCGAGCCTTGAGATTGTGAAAGCAAGCGGTGCAGCCGTGCAGTGTAGGTAAGAAAAATCAATATCACTATAATGCTGTGTAGGTAAGAATATTTTCAAATGCAATGTCGTACAACCAAAACTATAATGCTGTGGATATATCTTCAAGCTGCAAAATCACAAATCTGGCTATCTGATCATTCTAGTATATGACTAAGGCAACAGTACAAAATTTTAGATGAAACTTCCACAAAGAGAAGGTATCTTCAAAATCACAACAGGGATTTCTGACTCAGTTTTTGCCAGTTTTTGCATCTAGCTTCTTTTCAGCTTCACTGATAATCTCTAGTTGTTCCAAAAAACTGGTCAGTTTTCTCATGTCCTCCTGGACATTATGTGGAGCCTTCTCTTTATAACCGGAAGCTTCCATTTTCTGTGATAGGGCATGTTGCAGCCTGCGTGCATGAGTAATTGAAAGTGTTACTGCTAGCGCAGGGTACCAGTGAAACATAGGCAAAACGTCCTTAAAGATATTTTGAGCTAACATAAGCACGCTTACTTTTGAATTTCTTCTCTCTTTTTCCTTAGCTTTTCAAGCTCAACTTCTGCATTGAGAGCTCCTTGGAGTTGGAGGTATACAGATAAACTTTGTTCACAACAGCTGTTGCACAGTCAGGTGGTGTTTCATCACTCTCTATCAGGATCTGAATAAAATTTGAAATATCAGGTCAACACTCCATTCCAGGTTTCAGTATGAATTTTGATCCAGATAATTTTGCTAATACAAAGAAAAAAAGGAATGCACACATAATTGTACAGAAATTTAAGGCAGCACCTTTAGAGATGATATAGAAGAAAGAGTCACAACTAGAGACTGATAACATTGAACAATGGCAGCAATCTCTTGGCCTCGGCAAAGCGCAAAAGCAGGCCGTCTGGTCATGGAAAAATCAGCAAAAGAAAAAAGTTAACTATCAAACAAAATGAATCAATCAATCAATCAAGTAACCAGACATCATGGACATTACAGGAATAACATAAGTTAAGATAGATGATTATACACGCACCTCTCGTTTGTATCAGTTGGTGGCTTCAGAGATCTTAGTTTGTTGACAGTATCCAAGGCAATATCTATTTGATTTTCAAGTTTATCATCTGCCCATTCCTGTCATAACGGAAGATTATGTTTCATTGGTAAAAGTGTGCTATTATATATTGGCTCAATTATATTTCTAAATACAAATTATGTCTTCTTTTTAAGATAAATTTACTACCTTAACAAGGGATGGGTACTCTGATACCATAATGGAATCTTTCTGACAAGAATCTTTAGGCTGAGGAAGACGCTGCCAGAGCTCTTCAGTTACACAAGGCATGAATGGGTGGAGCAAGCGCAAGCCGGTATCTAAGCAAACCCATAAGGCATCTCTAGAGGCAGCTCTTGCTGATTCGAGCTCTTGAGAGTCATTGAAGAAGTAAGGCTTTATAGCTTCTATAAATACATCACACAGTTGGTACTGCCACCATGAATATATAGCAGAAGTAGCATCAGAAAATTTATATGCTTCTAACGAGGTGACAGATTTGCCAATAGCCTTGTTAAGCACTGACAATATCCATTTGCATATTGGTGGCATTATAGTTACAGAAATAGTTGCAGGGGGAGTGTAATGATCGCCAAGCTTGCCCATTGCAAAACGAATGGCGTTCCATAATTTGTTGCACCATTGCCGATATCCAACAACTCGTTTGATATCCAGGTTTATCTTGTCAGACTGTGGACAAGAGATATCATTAGAAGATGAATTGCAAGCATAACATGACAGAAACACAAATGGATGTGACTACAACCTGAGAAGTGTAAGAAACCAGTGCAAAACGGAGGGCATCAGTACCACATTCAGCAATGCCATCAGGAAAATCTTTCTTCTTCCCATCGCTTGCAATGTTCAATTCATTTGGATCCAGATTGCCTTCTTCCAAACGTTTGAGGAGACCTTCCAGTGGAATACCATTTATCACATCAACGGGATCAATGACATTACCAAGCGACTTAGACATTTTGCATCCATGAGCATCCCGGATCATAGGGTGCAAATAAACCTGAGCAACAGAGCAGAGCCACAGTTTAAGCATATGTGTTCAACAAGAATCCATGACTTACCAATGTAAGTTATACTTCTAATTGCAGCTAAACATGTCTTAGGTTACTAAATAATTCAAAATATAAATGTTAAAGACGGGGACAAAAGGTAATGTGTTCATCTATTAGGATAGTTCCCAGTCAACAATGTATCATGCCCAGTCGAAGTAGGATGCAGACAAAAGTGTAAAAAATGTTCAAAATTAACAAGCTAGAGTCCATTCAGATGAAATTAGTGTGACCTATTGAAACAAATGGTAGAACAGAAAATAATGACGTTTACTACTACTCCATTTTAACATCCACAGCTAGCAAAATTGAAGATAGATTTCTTCATGTCTGAATTTTGATCAGAGTTACACTGTAGTATTAAAGCATAGTTTCAAACGGCTATAAAAGATAATGATATCAATTGGTTAATGTGTGCAAAAAATGGATGAAATGTATAGGTTGCACTACTAAAATGGTATAATACAGTTTTAATGGCATAGAAAGCACAGTTGTGCTAATCGTCATTACCTTCTGAAATGGCACATCACCACCAAGTTGCATCCCCATCATCACCATCCGCGCTACCCAAAAGAAGAGAATATCATGTCCAGTTTCCAGCACTGAACCAGGGTAGAAAGCTTTAACATCAGCTGTATCATCTGGCCAACCAAGTACGGTTAATGGGAAAAGACCAGATGAAAACCATGTGTCCAACACATCAGGATCTTGATGTAACTCGAATTTCTTCCCAGGATACTTTTGATGTGCCTCCAGGTTTGCTTCGCTTTCGTTTCTAGCAACAACCCAACGGTCATTATCAGAACCCAGAATGTTCTCTTGATCATCTTCTAGTACAACATACCAAGCAGGCACACGATGTCCCCACCAAAGCTGCCTTGAAACACACCAATCACGTATATTTGCAAGCCATCTGTAAGGACATAACAATGAATGGATCATTTTCTTCTGATTTCATTACTTTGACATGATGTCATTTGCAATAGATGGCATAATTCTCAAGAGACAAACGAGAAGGTGATAGACATACCTATACCAGTCCTGCTCATACTGTTGTGGAATAATTTCAATTCTTTTGGACCTTACAGCATCAATACCTGCTTTTGCCATGGTATTGCAATTAACAAACCATTGGGGTTTTATCATAGGCTCCACCACGTCGTTAGTTCTTGAACAAACACCCAAACACATTTCGTTCTTTTTTGTCTCCTTGTACAAGCCCTTATATTACAGACAAAAAGGGGGTAAGTATAAAGCTCCAACAGTACTTGAACAAAATCCATATCAAACCAAATGAAAAAAAGAAGGCACAAACAGAAAATAAATTGGTGAAAGTACCAGATTACATCAATAATTGAATGCTACTTTCCACGTCATTATTACCCAACCATAAATGCATTAACCAAATGCGGGCTCCGAGATTTAATAGAACCAGTGATGTCGACAGAAGCCAATACATCATATTTCTCAGAAAAGTAATGCTATGCTAAGAAGCTCATTAATAGAAAATGAGAGAGGAGGGATAGAAGAATGTCGAGGGTAGGAATCCTTCATGCTATATTGCACTACCTCCTTATCGCCTACACTAACCTTCATGGTATGTTCACAATTTTGTATTTTTCACTCTGATACAATTTTGCAATGATGCATAAATCCATAACAAACCAGCAGTAATCCAGAAACAACGTTTAGAGACTATGGATCACAAGACGGTGTGATAGGATGATTAAGCAAATCTAGAAGTACCTTTGCCTTCAGTGCCTCAATAACAGCAACTCGAGCAGTGAATCTTGGCATTCCTTCAAATTGTGCACCTCCATAGTTGTTTATTTTTCCATCATCTGTGAAGATATTGATGAACTCAAGGCTGCGTCGCTTTCCAACCTCAAAATCATTTGGATCATGGGCAGGTGTAATCTGCATAAAAGACCAGCAAACGATAATTGAAGTCTATGCAGAAGATCCAAGTAGATGAAATCAAATAGAGATAGTCAAGTACTCAGAATCAGCTCCTACCTTGACAGCCCCAGTACCGAAAGTGGGATCCACTAACTCAGCATCGCAGATTATTTTGAGCTTTCGGCCATTGAAGGGATGAATTGCATACCTACCATGCAGATGCTTGTATCTATTATCCTCAGGGTGAACAGAAATTGTTGTATCACCAAGCATTGTTTCGATTCTTGTTGTTGCGACAATGATCTCACCCAATCCTTCCTCAAGTGGATATGCAAAAGAGATCAACACGCCGAATTGTACAGTTGTATTATAACCAGGAACCTTTAACATGGTTTCTTCTTTAATATCTAGATAATCAACCTGAAAAAAATAGAAATTTCAAACAGACATCGATTTTAGTTATATGTGCAACCAAATCCGCATAACAGACAATTAAAAGTCTCAATAACCTCTACGTCAGAAATTGCTGTTCGAAGAGTGCAGTCCCAATTCACGAGGCGATAATCCCTCTAGTGTATAGAAGCATATCATCCATAACAGGGGAAAAAAACTAAGATGGCAATCAAAAACCAAAATCAACTGTACAGAAGCAAACAGGTAAAACATAACTGTACAATCAATAAAAGGAACAAATGTTCAACTCTAAAAACAAAATAAGGCGATGAAACTGACCTATATATCAGGCCTTGTTTGTACAACCTCACAAAAGCTTCAGTTACAGCTTTCGATCTTGGTTTATCCATTGTAAAACACTGTTGCGAAGGTAGAGAGGAAGTTGCTATTCAGAACTAAACTATACAAATAATACATTGCTCATACTATCTCCTAACGACAGAAAATAAGATATGTACCTCGCGGGACCAATCAAGTGAGGCCCCAAGCCTACGTAGTTGATTCAATATGGTACCCCCATATTCATCTTTCCATTTGAGAACCTGTCCAGAAGATGATAGATAAAACAGAATAAACAAGAGAAAGGATAAATGGGGAATGAAGCTAATCAAATAAAACACACAAGACTTTCAATGCATCATATATGACAATGTGCTCGCCAAAATTTTCATAACAACATAGAACATTATATCCATTTGTATATTCATATGCTAATGGTGATAAATTGTTCGTTTATAATAAAAAGAATATAGGGAGTTAACAGGCATAAACTTTTGTTCAGGAAAAAATAGTGCTTACTTCAGATACCAATTCTTCACGCCCTATGTCATGCCTCGTCAATTTCTTTTCACGCATAAGCTTCTTCTCCACTACAACCTGATACAGGACAGATTATTAATTGGCATTTACTGTTTCAAAACAAAGGAAAGGAAAAAAAATGGAGTTAAGCAATCCAGCAACGTGAGATTAAATAGAATAAATTTAATAGGTAAAAAAGATTATTGGTTTAGAGGCAAAAAAAAAGACAGGGTGAATAAAATTGAGCAACATATGTTGACAATTTATTTTGAAAAACAAAAAAAAAATCTTACAAAAAGGTCAGCATTTCCTATGGATCTTTTGAAGCATTTGCCCATTGGTGACTGAACGATTGGGTAGTAAGCATGACAGAATAATACCAACGAAGATATATCAACTAAACTATATTATCTGCAGATGAGTGTTTCATAAGATAAATTCAGATGATGGTGAACCATTGAACCAAATCCAAGATGCAGACCTGTGTAGCAATGCCGGCATGGTCGACTCCTGGAACCCACAGAGCATTATAACCTGACATCCTTCGCCAGCGTATAATGGCATCCTGCATTGATTAAATGCATGGCAGTTATAATCATTATCTTATGTCTAGCCAACATCTACAACGTTACAATGGATATATGCTTCCGCAAGAATAATGATGACTACCTCTATAGCCACTGTAAGTGCATGGCCTATATGAAGTGCTCCGGTGACATTTGGAGGTGGCAAAACCTGAAAGGAAATAATTTAGCCGCTTGGCAGCACATCAACGCATCTGGAATAATCTGTTGTATGTAGAAAAGACTATATTGATTCCATGAAAAGCAGCTCACTAAATCAACTCACGTAATATCTAGTGCAAACTTCAAAGTATGAGCCACAGGATCTGCCCCAAAATATCCTGACGATTCCCACCAGGCATACCATCTGCATTAAAATGGGGAAATACAAACGCTTGCAATTCAATTAGGCCTTTCTTACTCTTTGAGTTATAAGATAGAGAAAGACAATGTAGCATCTCACGATTTCTCAACAGCAGCTGGGCTATACTGCTTGGCCATTTGAGATGCAAGAAATTTCTTCTGCCCATGAGGAGTGTCTGGATCAATGAAATCCTCAGGATTCTCATCCTCAACAGCTTTCTTCCTTTGCTTCTTCTCACTTTTTTTAGGACCATCTGAAGCTGCTTGTGCCTACAGAAAAGCCAATCAGAATGAAAATAGAAAAAATCCATGTCCACCGAGCATCTCACTAAGTACCTATCTGGTTTACATTCAGTAACATAGAAAATCAATAATTATGTTTCAACCTGGAGCCTAGCTGCCTCCTTTGCCTTTGCCTTTGCCTTGAGCTTTTTTTCCTCTTTCTCTTTTGCCTGTGTGAAGAACAGTTCACAGATCAGTGACTTTCGACATGTGCAATAGTAAACATTTTGTGTTTTGTCATTGTGAAAATCAATGACATTTTGACCATCTGAAGCCAGCTGGTGGTAGAGTAGTAATCTAGGCAACATGCAGAACAATCATCTAGCTCTCAACTCTGAATAAAGCATTATGAACAAACTCTGAATAATGTTATGAGCAATTCTGCCAATTCACCGTTGGTCAGATACAGATACAGGTCGACAAGAAGGACAAGGCCGGGCACCATTTGATCGATGGTCGTCGGTCGAGGTGCTGTGTTACACGCGAGGCCGAGGTCCCAGACCATGGCAGTCCTCCCCGTCCCCGATGCGCGCATAAACGCGTCCCAGCGGCGAACGAGCGAGACGGCGGCGCGGGATCAGGCAGGAGGTGGATGGGACCGCGGAGGGGAACACGTCGGGAGGCGACGCCTTTGGGTTTGCGGCGGAGGTGGCGCCGGCCGCCGGTAAGATGAGAGAAGAGGATCTGAGCCGAATGAGTCGATACCTATGAGCGAGACTCCTCCATCCTCACCATATCGCGCTGCATTGGAGCCGAGCGGAGATAGCCGTCCGATCCCCACGTCGTCCATCTGGAGCGGGTCTGCACAGGAGTAGCCGGTATGCAACAAATTTTTTTCCCTTCCCAGGCCGCTTGCGTGTACGAAAACCCCCAAATTTTCTTCCCAGAAAGAAACCCGATGGCGTCGCCGCCGGCGGCCGCGCCGCCTGAGTGGGTTGTATTGGACCGCTTACCGCTCACCTCCATCGACCTCCCTAAGGACGGCATCTCCCTCTCGCTCGTCGCAACCCCGCGCATCTCGCAGCTCCTCGTGTCCCCTTCGCTCGGCCTCGCCTCAGGCAGCGTCCTCGCCGCTGACCCCTCCGGCATCCTTCTCCTTTCCAGCTCCGATCCGTTTCTTGCCGACAGCAAGTCCTACGTTCTCTGGGACGCAGTCTACAAGATTTCCTTTCCCGTCCCCGCCACCCCCACCGAGACAGGCGCCGCCACTGGCCTCGTCGTGGTTCCCGGAGGATCCGACCACATCTACATCATGGTCGCGGAGCTCTCGATCCGTGGCAGCGACGTCATCCTGCGCTGCTTCTCCACAGACCCTGCCAAGTGGATCCACAAGATTCTACAACAACCCCCTCAGTATAAGCTCCTGTGGTGTTGGTGTAGTGACTATGCTCTCTCTCACCAGGGGAGGCTCTGGTGGGTAGATCTCCTGCAGGGCCTCGTTGCTTGCGATCCCTTCTCTGACAATCCAGAGCTTCACTTCGTGCCGCTCCCAAGCTGTTGCCGCAACCCCAATGTGCAGCAGAGCTGTCGCATGGGTCTGAGTGACAATCGCCGTGTGGGTCTCAGCCGTGGGAAGCTGCGGTTGGTGGTGCTAAGCCACGCCTCTAACTCTAAGTCCAGGATCAGATTATGGACATTGGCTGATTCTGAGGCTGGCCATTGGACTTTGGACTTCGATTTGTCCAGTCCTGTATTTGATGACATCTGGACTGACTTGTGTGATTGGAAGATTGCCTTCTTCCACCCCAGCAAACCACACGTGGTCTACTTCTCCCAGAAGCAGCATCTAGTTGCCGTGGACCTGCAGATGGTTAAGGTTTCAGAGGAAGATGGTGTTGAGCCTTGCAGCAGCAGCCATGTTCTTGCTTGGGAGCTCTCACCGTCCCTAAGAACCACTTTGTTAGGTTTGCATTTCGTTTAATTCTAATTAAGTACATATTGTATGTACCGAGGTTTAATTCTAATTAAGTACATAGGATACCTGACAGGATCACTGGGTTTCGTGAAATCTGACAAAATTCGATAAATACCAGATGAATCTGGAAAACCAAGTTTTGAATTCAAATGCTCGGTTTGAGTACTACAAACCGAGCGGTTTAATCAATTTTTCAATCAAAATTCCCGAAACTCCAACGATAAAAGACTTGTGTGGAATGAATGAAATCTCGATTGGATTTTGTTAGTCTTGGACAGAACAGGGCAGCTCTAGATATTGTACTAAGTTGCAGTGCAAGCTGTTTTTCTTTGTTTGCCTTTAGATATATTTATAGTACAAGTTCAGTTGGTTTCTAAACTAACCTTGCTGCTGCTGTTGTCTAGACCTTACTGATAAAGAAAAGAACTGATTACTACTTCTAGCAGGTCTATAGCTTACTGAGTAAGGGAAAAAAGGACTTGACTTACTAGCATCACCCTTATTGAAGAAGGGAAAGTTGTACTGACCTATACTATGCTTACTATGCTTACTAGCTAAAGAAGAACTAGACCGTGTTTAGTTCCATGCCAAATTTTTTTTTGACGTATACGGACATACATTTGAAGTATTAAACGTAGTCTAATAACAAAACAAATTACATAATCCGCCTGACAAATTTATTAAGCCTAATTAATTCGTCATTAGCAAATGTTTACTGTAGCACCACATTGTCAAATCATGGCGTAATTAGGCTCAAAAGATTCGTCTCGCAATTTATATGCAAACTGTGCAATTGGTTTTTTTTTCGTCCACATTTAATGCTACATGCATGTGTCCAAACATTTGATGTGATGGAATTTTTGGAAGTTTGAAGGGAACTAAACACAGCCCTACTACTACTTTACAGTACTTATTGAGAGATTATATGTTACAGTTTTACTGGGAAACCGATCCATGTGAGTGAGAAACTTAATTTTAAATTTCCTTTGGCTAATTGTTTTACAATTGATGTTGTTCATATGCTGCAACAAGATGCGTGAGACATTAGGAATGACTTTCCCATTGACATCTTTATGTTTGTTTTAAGTGGCAGGTCCATCGCCAGCACAAGATACAAATTCCACCTCCCATTTTGATAGTGTTGCCAATTCTTTCCTTGAGGCATACAGCTCTGCACTAGTTGACATGGAGTTTCACCAGTTAGCAACAACTGCACTTGCATCGCTTAACAAAGAAAAGAAGAGAACGGAGGTAATTGCACCCTATCTATATATTATTTGAAAGTTGATATGTTGAACCTGCAACGTGATTCTATAGTTTTTGTTAATACCAAACATTTTGGCAGGAAAACAAGTTCAAGCTATCTGAACGCCTTCTTCTGCAAACCTTTCTGGACCAAACTGAAACAAGCTTGAAGAAATATGCCCATCTGAACTTCTATGCTGGCACTGGCTCTGAAAAAGTTCTAGTATTTGCTGAGTTTCACACAGACGCCGTGGGTGACAATGAGCCCGATGAGTGGGGCTTATCTTCATGCAAACTGTTAAGAAAGAATTATCAAGGTAATACTTTTATCTTCAAAAATTGTTTTACAGGTCTGAGCGTTTCTTCCATAAAAGAGAAAACCTTATTTTCCATTAATGGTGGGTTGTGCCATGACTAGGGGGAGATATTGGGGAAATGTGAGGCGGTTATACATCCTGTGTTGGTAACTTGGTATGGCCGTAGAAGAATCAGAGACTATTTGATTGCATGTGTTTTTTTGTCCACCGTTACTTAGTCCCTGTTTCATAAAGAAACTCTGGACAATATTAGAACTCAGCATTGCCTAAGCTCATGGAATTACTCTTTGGATTGTACCCTGGGCCTCAAATGTTTAGTTTGGCTATCAGATTTGTGCTGGGTCTGACTTCCATTGGACATTGGTCAATGTTAAGATATGAGAAGTAAATGACAAAGTAATTATGTATATACTGTATTAGGTACTGATAGCTGCAAAATCGTGTTCTAATTACTGAATAACATTCTATGTTTCATCCAATATTTTAGCCACAATTTGGAAGATAGTTTGCACTTTAATTATCAGAGAACTGTCCAAATTATGGATCACGCTGAAGACATTGTTTGAATGAGTGCAATAATGTTACCTATTGTTTCATGCTGCACCTTTTTTGCCCTTTTGCTGCCAACCAAACACCTTCAATTGCTTTGAATGGTAGCCATCATGTTCAACATGATGTGCTGAAATTGTTAAGTGTAGGTCGGTGATAAGTTATCATTCAATTTGGTTATGTTTCTTTCACATATCGGTAAGAAACCCTTCGCCACAACCCAAACAACCTTCAGTTGCCTTGAATCTGGGCTAGAGTATATTGACATGACCTGCTGAAATTGTTAGGCGCATGGAAAATATTTTGTGATAAAACTTGTCATTTATACTTTGGTTATGTTTCTTTCACATGTTGGTATCTGTCCACATGCTGTGGCTAGAACTGAATCAAGCATTGCCAAATTCAATTGTTAAGGGTTAGCTTACTGTTCTGGTCTGACTTTTGTCATTACTCATGACAGACCTGAGTTTGCTTCTATTTTTTCACATCATTTCCTTCAAAGGATTTTTTTTTTATTTGAGATTTTGAGATTAGATGCCCCAGCTGATGGGTTTCTGCCCTGATTCAACTTTTGCTCTTGTTTGAGATCTCATTTTGTGGGAGGTTATTATTAAAAAGGCATGTTTTGTTTCTTTTTCAGTGAATTCTGATGTTACACAAAGAGCTAACGAATGACTTTTTTATTTAAAGTTGGGCATGCTGGTAGGCTTGGAGCATTGCATAGGTTTAATTTCTGGATGTATATTTTTGGGGGGTTAGTAGTGGATTCATCTTTTATATTTTTGTAGGTGGCCTATATGGTGAAGATGCTGATCGGCGACTAAGCATGAGGGCAAATAAGAGGAAGAAATCTATTTATTGTTTTGCATGTGCTGCTGAAATGTTGCATCCCATCAATGGCTTTGATGGTGGTTATGCTGGTATGAGCGTAACCAGGGGCGTGGGTGCTGGGGACTCTCAAGCAGGAGGAGGAGAGAGGAGGAGAAGTGAGAGGAGAGAAGTGAGGGGGAAGAGTGTAACACCTGCGCACCCACTGACTGAACCAGAGGAGTTGAAGCAGAGTAAAACAGAGCAAGGCGGCAAGAAGAAATACGCTTTCAGCTTTAGAAAACATAATATGTTTAGATGAATGACTTGTGGGGCTAGAGGCCAGCTGTATGGCGAGGGAGGTTAAAAACCCCGTGATACTATATCTGTTCGACAATTACTTCTCTGTTTCATATTATTAATCGTTTGAATTTTTGAGATTGAAAGTTTCATTAAATTTGAGATTGAATATATTTTGATACAATGTTTGTTTTGCATTGAAAGTATTACTATATTTTTTCTATAAATTTAGTCAAACTTTAACAACCATGACTAAGAAATTTATAATATGAACGGAGGGGAGTACAATGTATAATCTCTTCTTAACCTTAAAGGTGGGATCCACTGAACAAACACATATTTACTCAAGATTGAAAGTGTGCATGCATGTTGTAAAACCATGATTTTTTTTATTCTTATGATCTAGACTAAAACTTAAGGTTGCCCATAGCACTATTTTCTACATAACTTATCTCTCAGTGTATAAAGGTATAACAAAAATTAGTGCTTTATTACTTAAGGTTAGTTTTCATTAGTACATTCTGCCCTAACCTCCGATCGCATGTGAGAGCCGCCCATGCTCAATTTTTTTCTTTTTTTTTTAATTTTTTCACCGTGGGTAACTTCTTATTCATATGTGATTCACCGCATGATTAGATGGAACATGACGTATTGTAACAAAATTACCGTCCTAGCTATTATTATTTCTTTTGGCTTTTCAAAGTTTCAAACTGAGTATATTTTACAGCACCTAAACACACTTGGCAGATCACTGTTGCTCGTATTTTAGGTGAGGACCATCTAGCATTACAAATTTAGAGGGACGGTATTGTCAAATTTGATATTTTGGGACGGAGCTAGCATATAGCAACTGAGCTCTAACATAAATTCATCTGAACCTCCACTTTTCCGCGAGCATGGAAGAAAAAGGATTTTAGATTTACTTCAAGCAAAACAGCAAATGAAACACTACATCAATATAGCTCGTGGGCTCATGCCAACTATCCGCTCTAGTCTCTAGATCTGGCTGTCAAGTGTATAATTTGTAAAAAAAAATCCATTTATATTTAATAAATAACAATAAAACAACAAAATGGCATCAACATCACGCCAAAGACAATATTGGGTCCACAAGTAGCATATACGAGGGGCCTTGCATAATTTTCAGAGCATGTATAGTGGTAGGATGCTTTACTAGTTCATACAGCTCCCAAACCATCAAAATGATGTACTAATAGATTACATGAAAACATAAATATCTGTGATTCATAAGATTCCCTGTACTAAATAGTCTTCGGCATAATGACCTCCTTTGTAGGTACTTCCTGTGGGGTGCTTAATCTTTTCATCACATGCGTAGCAATTTTTTTCATCATAACGCTCCTCTCGCAAAAAACATCCATTGAGCAGCACATTCCTCAAACCACCTACGATACAAACTTTATAAGCATCTCAAAGGTAAACTACAAAATGTTTATACACCAGTATTCAACAAGACAACTAATAGAAAGCAAGCACAACCATTCATATTGAGCACTCCACAAAAACTTGTTACCAGTGATATTGCCATCCTGAGAGAGAAAACAGTAAAGTACATATGCTACCTTTACTGGTACATCGGTGACACCACCTATGTGCATGAATGTTGGGACCCAATCTGCTATTCTACTCCTGCTTTTGTCCATTGTTTCATGTTAACCTAACTACCCCACCAATCTCTTCTACTTATTGTCAGAACATTGACATAGCCTCCAAAACACACATTTGAACATTAAGTATAAATAATTTTCTAGAACATAGTGAATCAACTAGTAACATTTTCATGTGACAGAGGAAAACACTTTGCACATAACATTTGAAGAGTTTCCTTAAAAATTCCAAACACATTTATGGGATTATACATTTCATTGAAGAGTGTAACTTCACCATGTGCTGAGTGAATATGGAACCATCATAATTTGCCTAAATCAACAATAAAAGATGTGCAAACACAGGTTTACTTTTTCACATATACACGCACAAGGGAAACTAGTAAAAGAAACAATGCGCCTTTTATGATTTCTGCTCAACCAATCATGAAAGAAGAGAAACACATGTGTTTGTGTGTATAAATATATATAAGAGAGGAGCATACCAAGACAGTTGCCATCAATAATACAGCAGGCAGTGGTCGTATATCCACTATATTGATCGAAAACATTGTTGATTAAAGCCAATTCAGCGAAGAAGAGCTCCTCTGAATTTGTTGTCACATTCCTTGCCTTAAAATTAATGTGCACATGGCAAACACCTCCATCACAAAAATTGCATACATCATGCAAGAGCACACTCGTAAATTCATAGCAATCTTCCTGTGGATGCAGAGGATAAAAAAACTTGGATCAAGAGTGGAGAATGCATAAAGAGTGTTTGTGTTTTGGGCAGGAGGAGGGCATTTACAGTAGTAGAAAAGCTTACCGGGTTGTTTTCATTGTACCAAGCCAAGGCCATGTTAGCTCTTTTCTTGTTCAACCGGTTATAGTATGGAACCCTCTCTTCTTCTGTGAAATTCCATAGTTTTAAAACAATGGACTCTATTTCAGCATCGTTTATAGTACCTTCCACTGTTTTTTTAACAGATATCCTGCACAATAGCATTCATTTCTGAGCTACGCCCATCTTATTTCAACGGAAGGCAGCTAATGCTAGAAATATAGGCAACATCCTAGTTGGGTGTGCATTATTTGCAAACTCAGCCTATGAAGATCGTTCTTTTTCTTAGAAAGTAGTAAACCCTATCTTAGTAGGAAGAATGAAGGTAGCAACCGGAAGGCATTATCACCATTATATACCCCTAGTGGGAGTCAGGTAGAACATACTGTGGTATGAGTGATACAGTGATGAGAAATTCTCTATAACGTTTACATGTTCCCTTTTGCCATTGATGAAACACCCCAAGTTTTTGTACAAGCTGGTTTGGTTCAAAACCCAAAGAGAATAACAAAAAATTGTACATGAAGATGCAGACAGGCCGTATGTTTTAAATTTCCTGTTTACCCATATAAAACTCACAACGTTTTTTGAAGGGCAGTGGAGGTTGTGAGGCCTATTCTATCTAGTGGAGTAATGGCGTAAAATTTCCGACCTCGTTTTGTGGGGTGGATAATGAAATAAGAGTAAATTCAGAAAACTACAATTACTTTCACCAAACTATCACAAAACTACAAATTTAAGGCGGTGTATCATAACACTACATATTTAGAACCAAATTTATCAAAGAACTACGGATTTAAGATAGAAGATCACCAAACTACATATTTAACAACATTTATAACTCTTAAAATAATAGTAGTGGCAGGCACTGTAAAATTTGTAGTTTTGTGATAACTCTAGTACTAAAACTGTAGTTTTGTGATACTTGGTCTTAATAAATCTGTAGTTTTGTGATAATTTAGTCAAAGTAGATGTAATTTTGTAAAATTTACTCATGAAATAAATTTGGAAGTAGTGGGGGCGGGGAAAGTAAACCCTAGCCTAGCCGCTCGGCATAAGATGAAAATTGAATCGATCTTGCAAGAGCAAGAGCAGAGGCGGAAAATTGTAGGGGGGCAGAGGAGGAGGGAAACGAGGCAACAAGAAGCTTACTCCGGCGCGCAGAGAACCTTCCCGGCCTGCCGATGTCGAGCGGGAGCGGGAGCGGGAGGGAGCGAAGCATCGCGGGACCGCTTCTTCTTGGCTGCTTGCTGCAGTCGCGCGCTCCTGCGCGGAGTCTCCGTGGACACCTCTCCTCCTCCCGCAACGGCAGATTTCGCGGCGGCCGACGTCGGCGTCGGCGTCGGCGTCGGCTTCACCTTCACCATGGCGTGGGAGCACCGCCACCCAGAGATGGGGAACGAGGAAGTTAATGGACCTTGGGCTGGGCCGTGGGTGGCAAAAAATCTAGTGGGCTAATGGGCCTCCACGGGCCAAACCAAACTTCAAAACCAAATTGCATTAGCAAATGATGATATGTCAAAGAACAAACTCCAAAGTGCGTGATGGATAGAACTGAGTTTATGGAAATAATTTGAGGGTACAAATAAATATATTAAATATTATAAATTTGATATATTGATTTTTTTAAAAAAAATAAAAAATAAAATATACTAATGAAGTATCATTTAGAAGTTTGGAAAGCATGCATGTTTACCATAATTCGGTGGTCATGTTTAGAACGGGCCTAGATATCATCGATTTTTAGTCTCATACCGTGGAAAAATACCTATAACGTAAGCTCTAGTCATTTTTGCCACCGAAAGTCCGATTCGTGAGTCACAGATGTTGACTCGCCGAAAACCTGACAAGCTGAAATTCTTTGAAACCAGCGTGTTCTGTGATGAGGCTAAAGAGGATTAGCCACCGCACATGTGGATGTTAACCCATAAGCACATCGTGCAGCTCACCAATCCTTATCGTTCACGACAAAAAGCATGCAAGCTTTAGCTTGCCAAAGAGAGTCAGAGGGAGATTAGAGAACGCAACATTAGTCAAGGAGGATTCCTGAACCGAAGCCGCTATGCGTGGAAACGCCTAGGAAGTTTTGTTGACAACTACACATAATCATGATAATGACATGCTAATGATCATTCATGTGAATATGACATTTCACCCGGAAAGCCTTTATAAGAGACCCCCAGGGCAAGCATCCAACACTCTTAGTTCCCATTGCTCACATTTCTATCTGTCTCCCTGATCCAACCTTCCCTCTGCTGATATATCCACAGTTTCAACACTTCTTCAGATGGCTCAGGTATGCTGCAATCGATGGCTTCTTCCTCCTCCTCCTCCTCCTTGATTTCTGAACCTTGCACCATGTTGCTTTTGGTGGTTTTTTCTGCTACTGAAATTCAAGATCTTCAAGCTGAAAGAACTTATGGATGTGTTCATCATTTGTAGCAGAAGGTGGTGCTCAAGGTTCCAACCATGACTGACGAAAAGACGAAGCAGAAAGCGATCGAAGCCGTCGCAGATATCTACGGTAAACGATTAGCGCAACCTTTCTTGATTGTTCTTTGCAGTTTGGATTACACATGCGAGTACTGAGACTGAAATAAGTATGCTTCTGTCCCGAATCTATGAAAAACAATTAATCTAAGAGAGACTGAAATGGTTTATTTCAGAGACTGCGACCATCTTGTTTGATTCCATTTTAGTTTCAATCGCCATTCATCGTTCAACATCTCATATAATTATTCAGTAAGATAGCTTTACAACCAATCAATAACTGGATTCTTGTGAGAAAGAAACATCGTTAGGTGGAGTTCGATTGTGATACCTGATCAGACTCGGTGACATGAGTCAAGCAGTAGGTCGTCCACATGGAATATTATTATAGATTTATAGGTGAAGAGAATCAAAATCCAAATGGTTCGTCCTTGTGTTTCATGCAGAGAGTTGGTGCAGATCGGCACCTCTGAATAAGTGGATTGGTTATGACTTATGCTGACATGAATAGCATGATTAATTGGAAAAAGTAGTCCAAATCGAACCACTGAAGTGACTGAAACTTATTTTTAAAAATGAATCAGCTCTGATCAGATAGAATGGAGCATCATCCATCATTTCTTCTGGGTTGCAGGTATTGATTCGATAGCTGCAGACCTCAAGGACAACAAGATGACCATCATAGGCGACATGGACACCGTCGAGATAGCGAAGAAGCTGAGGAAGATCGGCAAGATCGACATCGTTTCTGTTGGACCTGCCAAGGAAGAGAAGAAGCCAGAGAAGAAGGAAGAGAAGAAAGAAGAGAAGAAAGAGGAGAAGAAAGAGGAGAAGAAGGAAGAGAAGAAAGGCAAGAAATGAAGCAACTCATCTCGAAGCCAATATCATCACGCGAACGGCAAAAGAAAAAGCTTGATTCCCCTCCTGAGTGCTGTCCCTGTTTCGAAATGATCATTTTGTACACTGTATACACCACAGCTACAGAAATCAAACCTTTTTGCACATCACGTCGAACGTTGTTTTCTCATCGTGTTAGCTATAGCTAGCTGCCATGCACAATTTACCACAATTTACAAGAAAGAGAAAATACGGAGAATGTGGTGGGCAACTTGCAAGTCATCTCATCAGATATTCAGATCCATGATTAGCTGCAGATAATTTACTTAAGAGAATCACCATCACAGCTAGCTGACTGATGGAATGATAATTTGAGCAATGGAAAACTGACAAAGACCCTGCACCGTTCTCTGATTATGGCGATAAGGAGATGGGTAACCTATGTCGCCATGTAACAAACACAGGACATTTGGCACACAGAAGTATGATCTCTGTTTTTTTTCCTTCCTTCCTGTGAAGAGAGTTAAGTGTGAACTAGCAATGCATGAACCTTGACAACAAAACCAATCCCGGCTACGAATGGATGTCAGTATTTCACTAAAAATGCATAAAGCTTACCTTTCTTGACAGTGGCAATTGAACATGACCATCGATTAGGATTTATGGAAAGAAACAACGTGAGAGCAACATCACTGTCAGGATCAATTGAGCCAAACACATGCGGAGAAAATTGCTTCTGATGTATTCTGCACAGCGTGGTGGACTGGTGGTGTGCATTGAAGTGTGAACAAGAATGAAAAATGGCATTGACGATCAGAAGAAATTCAGAATTTCAGGTGAGAGCAACATGTATCAGATGAGAACAAATTCAGATGGAGTTTTCTCTTCAGAAATTGCAGAACATTCTGGAAAAGGAAAAGCACATATCGTGCTTTTTTATCGGAGAAAGCAAGGCGACGAGGGGCGGCGGCGACCGGGGAATCGAGAGATGACGGGGCAGAGTCTACCCGCGGAGCGGATACAACGCAGTCGTCGCCGTCGCCCATCGGCAGGAGCCATGGCGATTCCGGCGGTCCAAAACAAGAGGGGGTGCTATTTGAAAATTTTCGGATCGCTACCCGAGTGAAGAGATTTTTCGTAAAACAGCAGTAAACCGTCTGAAGTAGCTCTCTAGTTGCGTTTGGCCGCCGCATTAGTTTTTCTCTTTTTTTTCATTCCCACAGTTTTTTTTCCTTTTCTCCCTCCCTTGGTATAGGCCTATCTATCTAATTGCGTTGTGTAAAAAAAAACTCTTCTACCTTCTAATACATTCACATGCAATCATTTTGTGCGTTCACGAAAACAGTTTGAAGTAGCCGTTGGATAGGAGACACATCGTAGAAGCCCTCACATTATCGTGTTTTATATTAGAGAAATTTTATGGTCCCTAAGAAAATACCTCAAGGCACATAAATCTTATCCTAAACTTTTTTTAATACCTCAAGATACTTAATACTTGTAGGTACCAAAATTTAAGAATGATAAAATTATCCTTCATATTAATCTTTCACCCACCCTGCTGGCAGCGAACTCCATCGAACCAAGCCACGAGGGAGGGAAGGCCCGGGCGTTCTCCAATGCGTGGCCATGAATCGCGCATAGACATGGGGGAAGAGGGTCCCTGCCCTCGCGGAGCTTCTGGTGTTCGGACTTCAGAACGGTGTTGAAGAGGAGAGGGTGACAAACACCGCGGTTGGTGCAGCGCGGTTGGAGGACGGCACACCAACCTCTACTCTGCAGTCTGCACTTGTTAGCGGCAGCGTCGACCACAAGGATGGTGACAAACAAGGACGGTTGAAGCCTCCTCGTTGGTTAGGGGTGCGCGTTCGGTCAGACATAAAAATTTGATCTCGGCTTTCAGCCTTTTATAATTTTTTATCATCTAAGACATAAGATGGAACGGTTTTGAAAAATAATGAAGAATAAGAAAATCTCGGTCATGACCAAAATTTCAGAATATCCTAAATAATAAGGCAAAATCCCTAATAATTTATAGAAAAAATCATACGCATAAAAAACACACAAAAAATATCAGATTGACTCTTTTCACTGCCATGGATCATAGATCGAAGCATAGGAGGTTAAAATTCAGTTTAATTGGGTTGCTGAACCTTAATAGGTATATTGTGCCAAAATTCAGTTTGTTCTATTTATTTGGTTAATCAAATGTACTAACTGAATTGACCGAATAAAATTTGGTCATTTAACACCTGAGATCGAACTAGTGACCGAATTTCTCAATCTTAGTCAAGTTTTTTTTTTCAGTTCAGTCTTTTTCTGCTCACCTTTAGGTTTGTAGTGCAGTAGCGCTAACCATGTTGAATGCAGAAACCGTTTGCTTGTTGAAATTATTCAGCTGTGCCACCTGACATAGTGAATAACTCGACTCAACTGCATATACAGCGCATAGACTGTTATTTGATTTGTTCCCAATATCGGTGAGTGGAATGGTGATGTTCTTCAATACTGTATTTGTCCCCTAAAACCAAACTAGAATCAGATGTGACACATGGTAATAATACGAATCTGAACATACTTCTATTCATACTTCTGTTCATATTCATAGGACTAAGATGTATCGTATCCGGTTCTATGTTGTTTTTTATGGAATAGAGAGAGTAGGATTTTAAATATCGCTATGTACCACCCAAGTCTGTTTGGGTTGATTAGCTATGAGTATGAACATACACTTACAGGGATTTCTGTAATTAATCACCCATTTTGGTCCTTGGCTGATCCAGGCCAACGAGCTCTACACTGTACTACAGCATGGCCAAAAATTACTATCCGATGTCGGTCGTGAAAGATCTTTATAATCGGTATAACTTTCCAACAAACTATCGGTCAACAATTCCTATTTCAGGGACACACTATCGGTCGGTAGTTATGTAAAGATTTTCTGATGAACCATGGGTCAGTAATTCCTCTATTGGAGATTTTGTATCATGGTGTAGTGACTAGTGACTCCATAGCAGCTTCCAACGAACCCCGAAGATTTTCTGAGTAATATATAAATTATACCTCAATTTTCATTTCGAATTGCTATACGGTATATTTCTCTCTCTATATATAGAAATTGCTTTCTTTCTTGGTAAAATATATAACTTGCTTTCAAAGATCATATATATATATATATCTATTTTTAAGTTTAAAATAATCATAATAAAAAATCATAAATATTAGGGAATAATCTAATATCAACTAAATCACGCGGTATGTTTTCTTTTTTTTTTTAAGAAAAAACAATCATGCGGTATGTTCTCTTACATGCATGCACCTAATCTGAAACGGGTTCGAATGGGTCTGAAACATACTCCACTGCAAGACCACTTACATCGGCCGGGCTCTGCATCAATTAATGATTCCATTTGTCTTCAGCGAGCGATGGCCTAACGAGCACCTACCATCGGACCAACAATCTCAATTAACCACCTGAACGATCGAATGCAGCCCATATACATGCCCATCGCCGCCGGCCGGATAAACTGATGACCATCTCGACCGATTATGGGTATCTCGGTATAATTGTCAATCGGTCAATCCTCAGTGTCAAGTGTTTATATTCTTTAACTTCCGGACAGGCCTGCTACGGTACAAAGATCGATCGATCCAGTAGTAACGGTGACGTTTCGCACTCTTAGCTCAAGCTCGACGAGAAATTAACGCGAAACAGCTGAGAATTCATCGCACGTACGTACATTACTGCCATTTAATCGGAGTACAGATCAGGCGAGTGAGTCGACCTCGTACACGGTTGCCAGTGGAGTAACTCGTTCTGACGCGTGGCGTCGTACGTGTCGGAAACAGCCGGGCCACGTGTGCAGCGGGAGCGCCTATAAATACGCGGCGAACAAGCAGATAGCTTCTGTACCTCGCAGCACCAAGCTAGCTAGCTTCGATCAGTAGCTGGAGGATGATGAGGAAGTTGGCGGTGTTGGTGTTGGCGGTGGCGATGGTGGCGGCGTGCGGCGGCGGCGTCGTGGGTGTAGCGGGGGCCGGTTGCAACGCTGGGCAGCTGACGGTGTGCACGGGGGCGATCGCGGGCGGGGCGCGGCCGACGGCGGCGTGCTGCTCCAGCCTGCGGGCGCAGCAGGGCTGCTTCTGCCAGTTCGCCAAGGACCCGCGCTACGGGCGCTACGTCAACAGCCCCAACGCCCGCAAGGCCGTCTCCTCCTGCGGCATCGCCCTCCCCACCTGCCACTGATCCATCCATCCATCGTCTCCTACTCTTTTATTTTGTGATGTGGTGTACGTGTTCGTAGTATTGTCTTGGCGTCATCTCGTCACGACGCGTATATGCATGCGCAGTGCGGCTTTTGAATAAAAGGGGATCGACCGATGTTATGTGCTTGGGTGGTCAGTTCGCGGTTGGCTGCAGCCTGCAGCTGACTTGCCTATGTATACATGTCGTCGTGTTATACAGATATAAACTCGATCGATCGATCCGATTCCGATCGATATTCTCAAGATCTGCGTGTCACTGTCAACATGCATGTTGCTCGATCGGCTAGCTCATCTGCTCATGGGTACATATGTGCGCCCTGTCCTTCTCTTATTCGTAAGGATGTAAGCAGTGCCGGTCACGGATCTATTTGCTTGCACTCTTAGTGCTGGTTTGGTTTAGGCCCTGTACGTTTCCAGAAGGATTGGATAAAGTTTTGGATATTCATGTTACGTTTTTCAAACTACTCTATATATGAAAGTTGAAATAAAATATTATATTAATTTATTTTTTAAGTTTATAATAATTAAAACTCAATTAATCACCTGTTATTAAAAACAAATTTTAAAAATTTATTCTATCCTATCGAAGTTACCAAAATTTTGAATTAGCAAAAAAAAAAAACATCAAACCAAGCAAAGCCTTTACTTCCAGGCCACCGCCGAGCGTCCCAATCTCCCAGACATGTGCAGACTTGTAGGCGTACGTACGCCAACGCCACCGAGCACAAGAGCTCGCTGTCGCGCACAGCGGCACAGGCGCGGCGCAACGCAACGCCACATACTAATTGGGCCGGAGAACGGTACTGCCAGCCACGTGTGGCCTATACCATTTGGGCTGGAACTGTACTTCCAGTTACTTGCGGCCCATACCAAACTAGGCCGGAATCACGGATGTCGAGCCCATAATAGTTGGGCCGGAACCGTACTTCCAGGAAGGAACGTGCGGATGGGCCGGAACGAGATACTGATATCTGTGTGGGCCATTGGGGAAGGCCGCGTACAGGTTGTGGCCCGCCTGTCAGTGGGCTGGTTGGGCTACCACTTGACTGCTTCTTTTTGTAGGCAAAAGTAGAAATGGCTTATCAAATTTACTACTTTAGCAACTTGACCATATTTGACCAAAGTTTGGTTTGTTACAAAAAAAATACAAAGGTCTTGTATTTTTGTAATATAGTTTGAGTATGTGTGTTCAATCGAGTAGGTGTACTGTGAAGAATGTGAGTTAATTTGGGCTTGGTACCTTTATATGTGATGAGGCAAAAGTATGCTTACAAAAAAAACTTCTCTCTTACCGTACCAGCTGGCCCCAAATAGCGTGACAAAGTGCAGCAAGTAAACAAAGTACTTCACAGTTCACATTACTTTCAACACCCTGCGTCCTTTTTTAGAGAGAGAGAGAGAGAGAGATTCTATACCTGTGTATGACGAGGTATCTGATGGGTCAGCATATATACTACTCAAGTACTGCTAGCTAGGGATCAAGCTGCGGTACCAACCGCATCATGCTAATCAAATAAGTACTGTGTTGGCGACAGATTAAATCGTAATTATGTGCTAATCCTACATCAGGTGGGCTCGATTGAGGAGACATCCTAACTGTTAGGTGGTGGTGATCGATATAGGATCAGAGCTGGCAACCAACACCAACACTATGATATGATATCACAAAAAAGCCATATATACACATCGATCGTCAATTCGTCATCCATCACACACACAGCCCCAATTCGCTGTCCATCGTCCCTGTCGTTGGCCATGCACAAAGCCTATTGCTACCTCTGCTTCATATATATATTGCTTCGTTTCTAAGGTTAGATCAACAAATGCATCCACATTTAGTGATATTCTTTGCAGTTTGAGTATCTTAATCATGCACCAACATTAATATTATTAACGTACAGAATCAGCGATCGAACTGCAGGTTAATTAGCTTATTAGATATTGCAGCAGTTTCTTCAGAAAGTTGATCGTACTGATCGATGATACCGGTTTGCTGATCTTATTTTAAGTTTAGTTGCACGTACTATTGTGTTGAGTTGAGCTGTTGTCGTCCTGGAGGAGCATCAACGTACGGAAAACAAAATGATTTGTTACATTCTTTTCTTCTGAAAATAAAAGGTAAGAACAGCTAACAAGGCACTACTAGCTAGCTACAGGTTCGTAATATTGTAGTTGTATGCGAAGTAGATTGAATATATAAAGGGGACAGATTGTCAAACAAAAGTAGGTAATTATCGTTCCACCATACTAAGTACTAGAGTACCTAACTTCAGTATCTTCTTGGAGTACAAATGATTAATTGATGATTCTCACAAGATTAAACTAAAGGTCTCAGAAGATTAAAGGCAACCTGGCAAATTAGAGTACTCTATACTGATACAGTTAATTAATCAGGTGCTTGCCAGCCATGAATGGACCATGCATGGTTACTCTATAGTACTACTGAACTGAACTAAGCTCAGTCAATCCCATGCATGTTGCACAGTTGCAGTCTCCATGGGGCTACCTCACTTTAATTACTATTCCAGGAGTATGAGGATGTGAAGGTTGTATTAGACGACCTAAATCAAGCGGCAAATATGCGAGAGAGCTGTGTGCTAGCTATGCATGGATCGATGATCGCCGGGCCATGGCAACGACTAACAACCTGGAACATCAAAGATGGCGGCTGTCATTGGACCCAGGCTCGTAAAGCGGCTTAATTGGTTGGCTCTAGCCTCTGCCCTCTAGAGATGCATGCCAAGACGACATGACGCGCACCCAGCACCAAATTATTAATACCATGATTAATTAATATTTAATAATAATATATGTTCTTCTTCTTTAGCTACTAATTAATCAATCACACAATTAAATTAACGTATAAACGTACAACCCCTGGCTCGATCGAATGAACGAATGTATCTCTAATCCTGGTGTGTTGAATAGCGATGCGGCCTTTATATTACGTACCAGCTCACCGCCTGCCTGGAACAGTACGTTGTCCATCACAATTGCTAATTAACTAAGACACCCTTCCTTGATTGTGACACTAGCACGACGCACTTTCCTCTATATACATATACATATATCCTCCTTCTGTCCAGCTAACGGTTTATATGCTTAGCTAGCTGTTTGTTTTGGCGATACCATTTGCATTGCTTGCCCAGCATCGTCGTCGTCGTCGTCGGGAGCAAGGAGGAGGAGAGACCATCGATCTTGATTGATTTGAAGCTAGATGGCGGAGGAGGCGAAGAAGGTGGAGGTGACCAAGGACATCGCCGAAGAGAAGGCAGTGGTGCCGCTGCCGACGCCGCCGGCCACCGAGCACGACGACTCCAAGGCCATCGTCCTCGTCAAGGGTACGTAGACCAACCTCTAGATCTAGTGATCATCTCCGTGCATGGCCACTCGCAGTTTCAGCTGCTTTCATCTCAGCTAGTTTAAGTTCTAGTGATTTTCTTTTAAAATGAATTTTTAAGTTCTAGTACTTGCCAAATATTATCCGTGGTGAAATGTGTATGATATGATGCGCGTGTTCTGCTAAAAAAAAGACACGAATATTAGAGAATGATCTATTATCAAATAATTAGAAGAGGTGAGACTTCGAACTCAGATCGTCTAACCCACTAACTTGTGGAGCTAGCCGAAACATCATGGGTGTTTCCTGCTCCATATATACCAGCAGGACACACTGATTATTGTTCATATGGTTTCAGTTAATTTCGCTCGTTCGATTATATGTGACTTGATTTGGTCTTTCATACAGTAGAAATTGCTTATACTTGAGTTTGGATATCGTTTGATTTGATCGTGCTCATGTTTTTATCTAGATGGGATTTTCAAGAGTTCTCCTTTATCCGGTACTGATTTAAACCTGATTTCAGAAGAAGAAAAAAACGAGTTCAAACATTGAACTAGTAACACTTAGGCTTCACAAGTTAAAACAAACTGCTACTGCACAATTCAAATATAAATGGCAAATCAACGATCAAGTACCAAACTATCATTCCGAGAAACACCAAGGGTTTTCTGGCTAGCTACATAAGATGGTCGGCTACTATACCCCCGGTGTTCCCTCTTAAAAAAAAAGGTGGTTGGCTAGACGACCTGGGTTCGAAGCCTAACCCTTTAATTTTTAATTATTAGATATTAGGTCATTCCCTAATATTTGCGTTTTTTTTTTCCAAACTATCATTTTACTTGCTTATACTAGTACTGAGTAAACCTGAATGAATTCATTCTGAATGCTGACATGTCCTTTCTTCTGTCCCACCAGAAGCTGAGGCTACAGGAGGTTCAGCTGAAAGAGGTACTAACAAAGAATTGATCATCTGAACTCTCATTTTAGCCAGCAAAAAACACTTCAGGCTCATGCTTACTTATGTGCTCATCATTTAATTTGCCCATTCTTCAGATGCTTATCTCGCAAAAATTGTGTCGGAGAAGAGATTGGTACTGATCAATGCCTGGGAGGAAAGCGAGAAAGCTAGAGCAGAGAACAGGTAGTATATCAAAACATTATCTTAAAAAAGGTACCATATCAAAATGCTAGCATTTAATTGGTGGTTGCTTAAAAGCAAAAAAAGAATTAATCAGGGTACTGTAGTACGTTATTACTGACATGGCACATCACCTCTTTCACTGGTTAGCCAAATTCGATGGAGATCTATTCTTACGGTGCACTCAAAGTACTACCTTTCATATCTAACGTTGCATTCACAACAACCAACCAAGAACCAACCTGAAATGCTGATGAAACTTCTTTCTGTCTCTGTCATTTTCCCTTTTTCTGAAACAATTACAGGGCGGCCAAGAAGCTGTCATACATCACTTCATGGGAGAATGCAAAGAAAGCAGAGATGGAGGCTGAGCTGAAAAGGATCGAGGTAGACAGATCGATCACCACTCCTAATTATATTTGGTGTGAGTTTTTAACAGTTATTAATAACTAGCTGTTCAGTAACAATAACAATTTGGGTTACTCCGTGGCTGCAGCAAGAACTGGAGAAGAAGAAGGCGGCGTACGAAGAGAAGCTGAAGAACAAGCTGGCATTGCTGCACAAGACGGCGGAGGAGAAGAGGGCGCTCACCACGGCGAAGCGTGGCGAGGAGCTGATCATGGCGGAGGAGATGGCCGCCAAGTACCGTGCAAAGGGCGAGGCTCCGACGAAGCTGTTCGGGCTCTTGAAAGCCTGAGAGAAATCATGAGGAGTTCATCATACATATATGCTGGGATTTGGTGTTGTTGATTAGTCTGTGAACTTACAGAAATTTGTATATGTGCAATGCATGGCATCCGTGTTTGCGTCGTGTGTATGTCGTCTAATTGAAGGGCCATTTGGTTTGTATTTTGTCAGTTGGGTGGTTTGATTTCTGGTGCGTTTTGTAAAGGAATTGTGTATATGCATAGGGGAGTGCAGGCAGGGGATGATGGATTATGAATACGCTTATTCTTTCATGAAGATTTGTTAGTAATTAAACATTCGTTAATTGTTGTATTTTTTTCAAAATAACTGCTTAGGTTGCTCCTTTTTCTCTGTTGAAATATAGCACTTTCTTATGCCTAACCCTTCGGCCATCGCTCATGAACGGACCAACTACTAGAGACACGTATATTCTTGTAGTCTGATGGATAATGAATAAGTTTATTCGTTCATGAAGATATGTTACTAATTAAACATTCGTTAATTGCCGCGTATTTTTCAAAAGAGGAGTTTTATGTTGCTCCTTTCTTTGTTGAAACAGCAAATGAAACTTTTGATGTATAACGCTTTGGTCCATCTTGTACTGCAAAAACAACGATCCAAGGGAGTTGGGGAGTAAAACTCCGAACCCCCCAATTCATCATCATTGTTTTTTTCAGGCCTGTCAGCACATAAATTAAAAAAGAAAACGAACGCAAGGGTCGGGGTTTTAATCTCCGACCCCTATTGACCAAGATTTTTCTCTCTCATTTATCAATGCTGCTTCCCCATCTGATCATTTTTTTTCGAGTTATCTGAATATCGTCGGTAACAAATGTATATCTCCCGAAACGAGTGAAAGGTGATGTGATAAATTGACTCATTCCATGATCGACTCGCGATTTCACATTCCCATTTGGTAGCGAAGTGATAAATCGATGCCTGCAACTGTAATGTGAACTTTGCAACTACGCAAGGGGTTCAGAGAATAAAACTCCGACACTCTTTGACCTCGATTTTTTTTTTCTCTCAAGCATCAATGGTGTTTCCCCATCTGAAGTTTTTTCAGTTATCTGAACATCTGTTAGTGATAGAAACTTATACCTTTTTCCTCAACGATTCCACAATCACATTTGCCATATAATTGATAATAAATCAGGGCATGACATGTCACATATCCTTTAACCGATCGTACTATACCAGTATACCTGAAACAAAACAGCACACATAACATTCCAACTCTAATCTGAACTTCCCCGCAAAAAGAAAAACTCTAATCTGAACTTGAGCATTCTAAGACGTGGTTTCACCGTCTTGCCCAAAATCTAGTTTTGTCAAGGCATCAACGCCACCACAACACGGTGCTCGCTCCGGTTGACATGGCCGCCGCCGCCGTGTCGCCATCCGCCGGAACCGGTGGTGGTGGTGGTGCCGCTGCTCCAAGCCGCGACCCTCCAATTTCCCGTTATAAGCAGAGGCATGACAGAAACCTGAGAACCCGCCTCCTAGAGGAGAAAGCGTATATTCGGTAACACTTTGCAAAAGTGCGAGGGCGACCGCGAATCCGCGATAAAGAATCCGGGGGGACCCACTTGTCAGAGGAAGGGTACAGAGACAGACAAACCGAGGAGGAGGAGGAGGGCCCACCAGCCACCACGGCGGCGGCGGCGCCATCACCAACCCACACCCACACCTACTACTACGACGACACAAGTAGTGGTCGTCGAATCCGCGGCGGCGCTCGCCTGAGCTTGCGCTGCACCTGCACGCGGCATATGCCTCACCGCCCTCACCTGGCTCAGCTCCGCCGCCTCCTCCTCCTGCCTTGCTCCTCCGTCCCCGTCCCCGTCCCCGCCCGCCGCCTCTCCTCCCCTCGCGCCATGGCCTCCTCCTCCGTCTCCGCCGCCGCCGCCGCCGCGCAGGCAGGTAAGCAACGCCACGCCCTGATTTTGTGCTGCTGCTGCTGCTTCGATTGATGGGGTTGGCTGGTGGTGGATACTGGATTGAGTTGATTCGTGGGGCGTAGGTGGTGCTGTGGCGGCAGCGGAGTACGAGGACGTGATGGGGCGGCTCTCCTCGCTCATCACGCAGAAGGTGCGGGCGCACAGCGGCAACCGGGGAAACCAGTGGGACCTCATGGCGCATTACCTCCAGGTCCATTTCCTCCTCCACTCCCCACTTGTCAAAATAGTATATTAGGATGGCTCATGGCTGGTTGTTTGATTTGATCGGGTGGATTTTGTTGCTTGCCGCGGTTCGCGCAGATTCTGGAGCTGGAGGAGCCGATCGCGCGGATGAAGGTGATTCACGTTGCCGGGACCAAAGGAAAGGTACTAACTCACTGATGATCAGCTCTAGCTAGAAAGCTGGATGTTGTGTGGTTTCCGTTTGGGTGAAGAGTGTTTAGAGAGTAGCGATGCAAGGTGCATAAATCACTAATGGAACATGTCTACGCAGAATCTTAATGCAACCAATCTGCACATTAATGTTTACCTATGCAATAGTTTACTTCTGTTTGGTAATGAAACCAATTAATGTATAATAACTTATCTTCCTTATGACGTGGAGTTTGAACAACACATGGGCTTTATCTACAGGGTTCAACATGCACATTCACAGAGGCAATCCTGCGATCATGTGGTTTCAGCACAGGGCTGTTCACCTCACCACATTTGATGGATGTCAGGGAGCGATTCCGGCTAAATGGGTAAAATTACTTTTCATTTTTCTCCTTTACTTATCGTTGACTCTAATGTTGAATTGCTAATGCTTCTCATTTCGATACTTTAGAATAAGCTTCTGGACACACATGTTCTATACCATATCTTTTATGTTATTTGGATAACTATATATTCTGCATTGTACTTAAAATTCCGGCAAATAATTGAATGGACTTGATTTTGCGTGCATCATATCCACCATGTCTTTTATGTTATTTGGATAACTATGTATTTTACTTGTTCTGATCTAGCTCCTAATTGTGAGAGCATCAGGGTGGATATTTCCGAAGAAAAGTTTTTGAAATACTTCTGGTGGTGCTGGAATAAGCTCAAGGTATATGTCTATCTCTATCTCTGTTGTTTCATATGATGGCACTCTGTGCTGGGCGCTAGCACTGATGAAAAACAACGACAAAATAAATGATACCAGGAACCTGTGCATTTCCTCTTTGTGTTTTTCTGCTGCTTTCGTTATCAAAACTTCTAGATGATGATGTACATGGGTGTACTTTCAGGAGAAGACTGATGATGATATTCCCATGCCAACCTACTTCAGATTCCTTGCATTGTTAGCATTCAAGATATTCTCAGCTGAACAGGTGAGATGTTTCTGGGTTGGCTGCTAGGATGCCTCGCAACAACCATGCTTGTTGTAAAATGTAACATCTTCTCCCAATCTTAATAAAATTCGGCCGGGTCACTTCTTCGCTTCCTGCCTGGCAAAAAAGATATAACAGCAGACACTTCCTGCTTTTTAAATTTTTGTTTTACTGCTTGCATCTGTTTGTACACATAACTTGTTCCTCCATTTTACTTGAATGACATTGTAACTTTATAGGGCTTTAATGTACTAAGGTAGTCGCACCAAAGACTTATATCACATATTTCCTTTTTTGAGACTTGGAATGTAGTGGAACCATTTATGATTTTCTGGGTAAACATTATTTGATGTTTTACTCCCTCTTTTCGTGGGTCAAACAGGTTGATGTTGCTGTTCTCGAGGTTGGCCTTGGAGGGAAGTTTGATGCAACTAATGTGGTATGTTCTGTTCTGTTGGGTGCAAGTGTTAGTTTCTTTGTAATCGAAATCCAAGACAAACTTGAACTATATGAAAATCTTGTTTGCCCTAGGCTGTTTGCTTCTTCTTTCTTTTCTTTGCGGCCGTCCTTTCATCCCATACAAAAGGTGTGATCACAAAGCAAACTGTACTAGTAGTGTACTAGATATAGTCATTCGGGTCTAACCATATGCTGATGTCTTCTATTTTAATCAGAGTTACAGTTTAGCTTTTGTTTCTTCTGAACATTAATGAATTCATTCAGATCAAGTACTGCATCCTGACGACTCAAGGCATAAATAATTCAAAATAATAAATGCGTAACAGGTGTATAACTTTGCACATATGCAGGTTGAAGCACCTGTGGTTTGTGGAATAGCTTCCCTTGGATACGACCATATGGAAATTCTTGGTTAGTCATGAAACTGACAGTTGATGCCCCTCTATTACTAGGAAAAGTAGTTTCATGCTTTTGCCATGTGCCCTGTGAGCAGGAAACACACTTGGAGAAATTGCTGGTGAGAAGGCAGGGATTTTCAAGGTCATTTTAACTACTACCCTAACAAAGTCATGCTACAAATTAGGATGAACTGTTATATTATCACTTTTTTCACTTGGACTGTTGCCGATTAAAAGAGAATACGTAGCCAACATTTCTTGATTTTGTTGATTTGCTTGTGGCGTCTGATATCAACAGAAGGGAGTTCCGGCCTACACTGCTCCACAGCCAGAAGAGGCAATGATTGCTCTGAAACAAAGGGCTTCAGAATTGGGTGTATGTTTTATTTTAAACTTGTCCCTTATGTTTTGTAATATTTGTAAACTTGATAGTTAATACAGCTGAAAGCATCTTCTAAAATAAGCTAGTCTGTGCCTTCTGAAGGTTTCACTCCAAGTTGCACATCCTTTGGAACCCCATCAATTAAAGGATCAACATCTTGGACTGCGTGGTGAACACCAATATGTAAATGCTGGCCTTGCAGTTGCATTGGCTAGTACATGGCTTGAGAAGCAAGGACATGTGGAAAGAATACCACTGAACCGAACTGTAAGTCTCAATCAATAATTGTTGCTTACAAAAGTTGGTATGATAATTTCTTTCTGCTCTTATGGAATTTAGGACCCGTTATGATAATTTCTTTCTGCTTTTATGGAATTTAGGACCCGTTACCAGATCAGTTTATTAGTGGGCTGTCAAATGCCTCTTTGCAAGGCCGAGCGCAGATCATTACAGATTCACAAGTAAACTCAGGAGAGGAAGATAAAGACTGTTCTTTGGTTTTCTATTTGGATGGGGCTCACAGTCCTGAAAGTATGGAAATTTGTGCTAGATGGTTTAGCCATGTCACTAAAGAGGATAGGACAGTACCATCTTCCATGGTGCAGTCTCAGTCTTGTGGCAACTCTCAAAAGGCATGCCTCACAGTTTCTCTAGTTTCATCTTACTTGAATGGACTTGATTTTGCATGCATCATATCATTGAATCTCCTTTCCCCTTATATGAAAATTTACCTTTGGACCAATCACAGATTCTTCTATTCAATTGCATGTCCGTGAGGGATCCTATGAGGTTGCTTCCGCATCTTCTGGATACATCAACTCAAAATGGTAGGTAAAAATTGCTTGAATGGAAAAATGAAGTCCATATTCACTCATCTATCTAATACTCCCACTTTATAATGTGTACTGGTTGTTTCCACTAACAACTAGAGTTCTGCACAAACTTATTTGTTCACTGTTGATTTCACTTTCAAGTTTAATTTGTTCCTGTTCTTGGTTGAATGTTTGCATTTATTGTTGTTTCATTTTTCCCAGGGGTCCACTTTGAGATGGCTCTTTTTGTGCCAAACCAATCACAATACAACAAGCTTGGTACCAATTCATCAGCTCCTGCAGAGCCTGAGCAAATTGATTTGTCATGGCAATTGTCGCTTCAAAGAGTGTGGCAGAAATTACTTCATGGTGATAAAGGTTCTTCTTAACTTGATTACCAATAGACATTCATGTTTCTATTGGTCATATGCAGTTTTCTTGTTGAAACAAGTTACTTTTAGCTTGAAGATGATATCTGAATTTAGAAGCAAACGGTGCAGGTATGAACAACACAAATTCCAGTGAGAACAGTCTGGTTTTTGAATCACTTCCACTGGCAATGGAGTGGCTGAGGACAAATGCCCGACAAAACCGATCAACTTCTTTTCAGGTAGGTGCTTCCATCAAACTATAACCTATAACTTCAGAAATGTTTTCCTTTTTTAAATGCTAGTGTTTCATCCTAATATGTATTCCTGCATTTATAACTAGAGTGCTGTGCTATAGATGGCTACTTTATGTTCACCATCACTGTCCTGTAATCTGTGATATTTTTAGTTTTGGCATGTGATCATGTTTATTGAATTTCCTATTTTGCATAAATTCGATTTTTTGGAAACATCGTAACATGTGTGTGCGCAAGCTACTTCCGCACTTGGCGCTGATCCATTTGTGTCTGATACACTGAATTAGGTCCTGGTTACTGGCTCCCTGCATCTCGTTGGTGATGTGTTGAGATTGGTCAAGAAATGATACTTCTTCTTGGAACGATATACACTTAGAAGTTCAAATTGACGCTGAGCCAATTTCGCGGTTTACGTTTGAGATCCCCTGACGGCAACCGGGCGGTTACAGGATACAACAATTTCAATTTCAGGTGTTTTGGATTCTATGCTGACCAGGCAGCGAGCATATCGCGTATACTCTTCTTGTTATGTGTTTCATGGCTCCTTTTTGCCACTAATCCGTATTCTTTACCCAGAAAACTTCAATGCCCATTACAACAAGTAATAAATTGAATACATGAATAAGATGGTGGCAATCATGAATAGGATACACTTTTCTAAGCTTCTGGTGAAGATGTTCGATTCATCCCTGAGGTTCACGTGCATTTAGTCAACTCTGATGAATGCCTAACCAAATACTGATACACATGATTGATGATTTCCATTGATATCACAATGATAGGACACAACTGCGTTTTTCTTCGTTGCACCCGTGTGACATATCTGAGAGGCCAAGACTGCTGTTTCCTACTAACTCTTAAAAAAAGATTAAGACTGCTCTTGTCCTGAATGAAGATGCCATTAGCTCTACTGTTAAGGTTCTTAATCCCATTTGGCATGTTGTCCACATGAAGCCAAATGGTGAGGAAAGCACAATCCAACCCCTCCATGTCACAAAGTTGGCTGGGTTTGTCTTATCAAGAGAGGAAAGCTCCTTGTCGATACAGATGGCCCTCTGCCGCTCTTCTTGTCTGGGTCACAATAAAGTTTTAGCCGGCTATCTCAAAGGATTTAGTTTTTTTTTTCCTCCTTTACTTGTTCTTAAAGGATTTAGTTGTTTAGCCTGCAGGCTATAAAGTGAACAACCAAAGACAATTTTCTAGTAAAGGTTTTCTTGTAGCTTCCAGCAGCTAGCTTAGCTCTTAGCTCTTCCCTTCATCTTGGCTCTTCTTGTAGAAGTAGCAAGTTAGCAAGCCTCCTCCATTATGAGCTCATGGTCATGGAGCGTGAGACTTATGGTTCTCACTCTCACTCTCCTGGGAGCAGAGCTGGCAGGCATCCGCCATGGCCGCCGAATAATCCCGAGCTTAGAAGGGGACTCGCCGTCGCCGTCGCCGGCGAGTAAGGGCTGCGGCCTTTTGACGGAGGAGATGGCGGCGCCGCCCGGCCATTACTACAGCAGCAGGCGCATGATGCAGGAGGAGGAGGAGGATCATGGTGTGTCTGCGTCCAAGCGGGTGGTGCCGGAGGGCCCAAACCCACTGCACAACTGATCGATCGATCGAGGTAGTGTTTGTGTTTATCACTGCAGAAGTGCAGAAACTGATCAATCAGCGGACGAGTATGTATAGCGAGCTTGTATTGTAATCGACCGATGCAATTAATCAACGCAAGTTATAGCACTACTAGGTAGCTTATCTTGCTTGATTAATGGCAAGAACAAAGGATGTATGGTGCGGCGATCGCTTGCGAATTCATTCATGAGCATACGTACGCATCATTTACAGTAGCTAGCTAGCATGCAGATGCAGGCAACCCAGCTAGATGAAAATGACATACTTATTCTTCGTTTTCCCCACAAACAGGAGATTAATTAGGATAGGAACATGTCAGGACCAATATAATTAACCAACCAGCCGGTCCAACCACACTGTACATCTTGCGATTGAGGTACATTCATGACAGGATAAAACATTTTCAAGGTATCTCTCGTTCTTGCATTCCGGGCAAGGAAAAGGAAGGCGTTTATGTGATGAACACAATCGCCTATGTAAAACCTCAAGATTTCATTTCAATACTTTTCCCTCATCAGCAACTCAGGAGTTTACCAACAATATATACGTCCAATCCAGGACTGAATATTTTGTCAGGTGCTCAGAATCTACATCAGCTGGTTACCCACGGGATCAACTGTGAAGTGTAGCTCAAGAGATTTCTCCACAATCGGTTGAAATGTTGATGCCCACATCTGTATTTCACAAGGCATTGTCAATTTTCAGTACTTCACATCATGCAGCTGTTAACAGAGTGAGTGCGTGCATGTACATACTTGCTCCCTGTAAACAACTCAACTAAGGGCTATATTTTGGTGCAATAATTCAGTGTTCAAGCATTCCTCTACTAGTTACAAGTGTATCATAATTATGTAAATCTAGTTCGATTCATGTTTATTATTTCCAATGCAATAGGTTAGGGTAAGAGACCCCCTCCCACAAAACTGTCAACCAGCCCATTGTTTCTGTATACAACAGCAGGTTCTGAAATTTGCCAGAAAGGAATTGAACAGGAAGCAAGACCAATTTTCACAGTTATTTGCTTCTATCATTTTTTTTGTCCAGATATCAAATGTGAATTCATGCAAGTAGAGAAGCCTTACATCCTTGTATTCCATCCCCTCCCTGAATATCTTGAAGTCATCAACTGCAGGAAACAAATAAATTCACTAAGGAGCCTTTTTGATACACAATCTGTCCATAATCCAGCTTTGTTGGCTGCGTACATCCAATTGGATGTAGAGGCCAGGTTTATCCCATTTTCTAAAAAAGAAAATTATCCAGCTTTGTTCTGCATTTATATGGATTTTTAATTTCAAGGACAAATTAGAATTATTGATCACTTACATGACGGAAAACGGATAACTGCAGCATGACTGTAACCACTGTCCATATGATTCAGACAGCAGCCTGGTACATGTAAAACATCACACTTTATTATCTGAGATTGAGGAAAAATGGAAAGTTTTGTGAAAATGTGTCGGAAGAAATGACACAGATACCATTTTGTCATACCTAAGGTTGCCTGAACAATGAAAGAACTGCATTGACTGATGAACCTCTGAAGAGAAGCTAATGCATCCTCCACTGAATCTCCAGATGCACTTTCCAAGAAAGATATCAGTAGCATGAACTCCACTCCATAGTTAAAATCCTGTTGGAAGAAGCAAACTTAGGCTCACAAACAAAGTTTGTGGAATATCTTACAAGACCAAACCAAAGAATAACAATTTGAGCTCCAGCTTGATGCCATCTTGAATTACCTCTCCCCGACGGAAGAGAGGGATAATGTCATCTTCAACTTCAGATTCAAAATCTACAGAAACCGAGCCCTGTAAGTTATCCAACCAGTGACTCTCACAATGCAATGGACAACAAATAGTCAGAATTTTGTAAGAACCAGAAAGAAGATTACATGCTGAGGCGTACATATGAAACGGGTTTTACGTGCTCATCGAGAATTTTGTAGTAGTAGGGACTACTGTGGAACTTTGCAATGTCGTCTTTCTGCTGAAAACGCATCAAAACAGCATGCGTAAAGTTCTCTGTGTTGGGATCCTCTATGCGCCCTGCATCCAAGAGATAGACGGATATCAAAACACAACACATTACTTTGGAGAATTCTTCATCAATAAATACATATATATAAAAACTTCTCACCTAATGACACAGCTAGAATCCCTCTCATCTGATACTGAGAAGTATACAAGTAATCTAGCATGTCCTTTTCTTCAGCGTCCGAGATATTTGGCTTGGCTCTAAGCAGAATGATGTGCTCCACAATCTTTCTGCCATAGTTCACCAAGTCAGACTGTCCATCTATATACTCCAGACTATCATGTACTATTATACTAAGGTCTTCTGAAGTAGGTGCTATATATATATATTCAGGAATCAGGAAAAGTAAAATGATAGTATGCAGAACTTTAGAGGTTAATTGGATGAAAGTATTGTTCTTTCACAATGTAAATTTAAGGATGGACATTTCTCTTTTCATGATCTCATGCTGACCTAGCAGTGCAAAATACGGAGTCGCACACCTTTTCTTGACAAGGCCACCAGATGGCGCGCCATTGCTGGAACCTAGCACACTGCGAGTGCAAAAGACCACCCTCCTCGTAGGACCCTGCAATCTAAAACCTGCATGAGGAATATGGTTAACTCAACTTTGGCCATATGCTAAACTGAAAATGCATTAGGATTGAACCCCAAGATGAGATCAAGAACTCACGCCGGTCAGACTTGTGCCGGCGCCGTCGATGCAGAACTAAGTAACTTGCAACAGGACGTATTGTGTGATGAGGGATCTGAGCAGAAGCTGGCATCAACATCCTGAAAATTCAGAGCTTGGAAGCTTAGCTCTCATGGTTGTTGCAAAGGTTTTATGGCTTGGATTTGGGGTTGGAGCCTTGGAAGAGCTGTGGTGGGATATCTGCCAGTTGAAGTGGGATATTTTTGTTAGGTGAACATAATGTGGTGAGCAACTCTTCACCGGAAGGGAGTGGCTGAAGCGTACAGCACTGTCCTTTTCTGTTCTGCTTCCCAGATTCTGATATTTGTTGGGGCCAACAGTTGTTTTTGAACTCTGTTTTTGTGCACAAACCAATTTACAACAGGGTTGCCACAAAAACACCAGAATATACAATCATGAAATGAAGAAAGAAATACCCTTATTTGAGGGCAATAATATCACGGCAGATTGCACCATCGAATCATAAATACTTTCATAAACTTCAGCAATCAACAATCTTCATATCTTTAGCACCAGAACTGCAAGTACTACTAAAATTGGGGGAACATTGCAAAGCATCACGTACCGCCGCAAAAACCGAAACATATAATCATGACATGAAGGGGAAAAAACACTCCTGTTTGAGTGCAATAACATCACATCAGGTTCAGCAATATCAATCAACAGGTTCTAACTTCGTTAACAACAATAAATCACAGAGTTAGTTAATGTGATAGCTTAAACTAGACTGCTGACATGGTAGCCTTTACATGTTCTAATATTCTAATGTAATCGTAGAAGAGCGCGGAGTGCTCGCCCTCCAGACCATCTCGGTGATGGCGGTTGCTGCCAGCAAGGTTGTTGCACGGGCTGCCACCAATCACCAGGTCAAAACCGCCAAACCTTCTGATGAATGTTTCAATTCTTTCAGTAGTAAGATGCCGCACGTCGGCGATTTCAATCAGCGTTCCAGTTTGTGTCTGATCCCACCAGCTCTTCAGAATCGTTCTGTTCACTTCTGATTTCTCAACAGAGATCACTGTTTTCATATGTATCCCCAGTCTGTGGAGAGCTACCTCTGCTCCTCCAATACCAGAAAACAGGGATAAGACATTCATTCCATTGGGAAACAGGTCCCTCAGCACAGAGAGATGGTATGCTACTGTATCAACTTGGAATGAATTCCCGAGAGCCCTGTACCTCTCCGTCCTGCTAACTCCCCTAGTGTGGTTTCTAGGGTACCCTAACAGGAACTCCATCTCATCAGGCTCTAGAGGAGCGACCTTATTCTTTCCGACCCAAACTAGGTTCCATTTCCTACATTCGTCCAAGACATACTTCTGAACTTGTGGAGTTGGTACATCACTGAATCTACCCAAAGCACAACGAATTCGCTCTGTAAGCTTTGCGCTTGCCATACAAGTTTGCAAGCAGTTGAACTGCCTCCTTGGATCCCAGGAAGGCCACCACCTCTTGGTATTAGGAAAGGCTTCAGATATTGTTTTGGGAGGCATTGGGAGAACAGGTGACCTGTTCTCAATCGGCAGGTTATGAATATAACCCCTCTTCCTGGCAGCAGCACAAAAGTACTTGGAGTCCACAAACTCAGGCTGAATGTCATATAAAAACCTTGAGATGGTTGTCCATACACCTTTTGGAGCTAGGGCCACGTTTTCATAGTAAAAGAATGGTGGCCCAAGAGCTTGGTCAGGAAGATTTCTGTGGACTGACCTTAACCTCTCATTGGGCAAGCTGAATCCCACCATTGGATTTGGAAGAGGCATGGGCTCTTCGTGGCTGCCATCAAACGGCACTTGATTCCCAGATGGCCCACTTCCATACCGCTTTCTCTTCTTGCTTCCATCCACAAATCTTGTTTTCTTTCTTCCTCCAAAGGAACTGAACTCTGTATCCTGCACAATTATAAAGATGATGCCAATGCCGTTATATTTAATGAAATGAAACAACCTATTGATTCAGATGCATTATAATCACAAGGTACCTCATAGTCAGATAAGTTTGCAGAGTAACCATTTCCTGCTTCCTGTGATGCATAGATTGAATCAACCAACACTGCTACAGGCGCATCGAGACCTGGGAAATTTAAGCCAACAAAGGCAGCAGAATAAGGTTCCTTCCTGTCAAAGCATCAAATTCAATAGAGGCATACCACATCTATCGATAGCCATCTTTGCTTCATCTTCAGGAAAACCCATGTTGACTAAGGACTTCATTTTTTCATCCTTCTCTGACATTTCTTGAAAGAAATCCTGCATAAAAGCACATTAAAGGCAAATTGAAAACACTTGTTACATCTCTCTAATGACTTGCAGTCCAGAATAACCTATTAATAAAGCAACTAATGCAGGCATCACATATACAGTTATACACATATACCATTTGCAAAGCCTACAATTTACTGCTACCAAATATATGATCCTCTCTCTGATGGTTCTACAGTAGTTCTGCTAACTCTCACTACAAAGGCACCATAAAGAAAATGCTAACTGGAGATGCATAGAATGATGGAAGGAAGGGCTGGATCAACAAAGCTCCTTTAACAACCCTACAGGGACATGTATGGTTTTATAGATACAAAAGACTACAGCACTGCAGTATAGCTAACCATATCTATACTTGTTTACTAAGAGTGAAATAGAACACAGGTATGAAATTTTCTAATTTATTATACGACCAGTAGTTCACTTACATAGGTATTAATAAGGGAATGTGTTCTTAGCATGAAGCAAGTGCAAAAAATGGTGCAGCCATGATCAGGGAAACTGGTCAAGAAATAGACACAGCAAGTGCATATAAATATATAATGACCAAGGAGGGGGTCATGTAAATACCTCGTCACCAGAACCATCAGAGTGAGGAGTCCTGTCACAATTGCCAGCAGTATCATATTCATCCCAATTAGTATCATCCTCCTCCTCGTCGACTTCAAGAGTCTGGGGGGCACAGGCCGAAGCAGAGCAGTTACCCACTGAAGCGTCACCGCCTATTGCCTGCATTACACGGCATCACTTGTACAGTAGAGCATTAGATAATAATAAACAGAGTGATGCAACCATGTGGGCAAATACCTGATAAGTCAGAAGTAACTCAAGCAATTGCTCTGTATCTGTATCCCCTGAAAGAAAAGACAGCAGTTGAAACAGAAGATTCAAAATGCAACCAGAAGCAAATAAGAGAACTAGATTATTGTTATCGTTACCAATCTCCTTAATCGCTTTCAAGATCATTTCTTTTGGGAATCCCATTCCCATAAATTCAGCAACCAAAGCACCTGACCCGTTGGCCTTCCCATTTGCATCCTTCAGACAGTTCCACAAACAAACACCACATTTTGATTATAATTACAGTAAAGTAACAACATGGTTTGAACAAATGACTAGCACGTGTGTTCAAAGATAGACCTCTATCTCCTACCTGCGGCAGCCTCGTGGACGGACCAGGAGCATCTATGTTCCTTAGGGCCGGGGCAGATGAGGTCTCAGCCTCACCGTCTGTGTCCCACTCGAACTTATCATTGTCGCTATCTGAAGCCCAGTCCTGTGACATAAATTAAGCAACACGTCTGAAATATCCCGACTAACAGTGAAAACAAGGCGATTCAGAGGAGAAAAATTAACGCAAGTACTGAATCGGGTTGAATGTAGCATCTTGTATGAGGCATACTGCCACCCCTATATCACGTAGCCCTCATCAAATTTCAAGGGGATAGCCAAACAGTTAAACCCTAAATCCAAATCAAAAGGGGGGAAATATTCTGCTCCTCCACGCTCCGCAAGCCCGAACTGTTCACGCGACATCGCAAAATCGAATTCTCAAGCGCGACATCAATACAGTATCAGATAATTTTAGGATCCAAAATGCAGCAAAACATACAAGAAAGTATCATTCTTTCGCGACTAAACAGACCAGAGGAGCCCCTCCATCCCAATCCCAAACGGAAACCCACAACCTAATCGTGCACGGAGCAATCCACGAACAACGACGAGGAGGGTCGTCCGCCGCGGCACGGCCAAACTAACATCATGCAGCAGCAGCAGGATGGAGATTGGAGGAGAGAGGAAGAGGAGGCTTCGGAGGGGGGGAGCGGGAGCCCTTACCACCATTCTAGAAAGCTCCGCAAAGCGACTCGTCCGATAATCTCTCGCCCCCCTCTCTCGCGCGCGTGGGCGAGGGCGTCCGCCGCCGATGGCCCTGGGCGCGCGGTGGCGAGGAAGCGCGCGGCGGCGGAGGAGGAGGAGGAGGAAGGCGATGGCGATGGCGACCACACGGCGTTGCCTCCGCGCCTCTCGACGACGACTAGTGTAGACGAAACCCACAGGCGCGCCTGCGACCATGTCGCCTGAGCCACTTCACTGACGGGTGGGACCCACCCGTGCGTGGGCCAGGATTGTCAGTGACTGTTCACAGGGCGGTGTAAGGGCTTGGCTCTGTGGACGATACAGACACAAGGATCTTCTGCGGAGAGGTGAGCTGTGGGAACGCATTTCCGCCCTCCTACAAGAGGTTTTTCTGGATGTTTTTGGCTGCACACCAAAGTGGCCATAGATTCCTTTTGTGCGCAGCACATTTTTCCATGGAAGGTGGGAGGAGAGAGAAAAAAAAGTAGGTGAACTTATCGTTGGTGCAATAATTGAGGCTTCAACTCTTAGTTGTCAAGCACTTTGTTGTTTCAACCAGATAAATTCTCACCTAACTTTTTAAGTACACGTTGAAATCTTCTTATATATGAATAATTGTTGGTTTTTATTATATGTGATTAATTTTTGTCCATTCACTTGTATATGTTTCCGATACACTATTAGATGTTTTTTAAATAGATTTTGCGCATTGGCGACCTCCGATAAGCTCTATGAGATATAGTCAGGGTTTCCAAAACCGCCGGGGCCGGGGTTACCGCGTGGTAACCGTGAAAAACCGTACAAACCCGTATAAAATTTATCAAAAATTCAAATTATTTTTTAATTTTATTTGAATTTAAGGAGGTTACCGCGGTATTTCTATTACCGTACCCCCGCGGTAAGGCCGGTAACGGCGCGGTTACCAACGGTAACGTAAAACTTAGATATAGTAGCGTCCCACTAGTGGTTAAACAAGATGGATTGATCGAGTCATGATATAGAAAGAGGAGGGGCGAGTGTTCTCCAATTTAAATTTAGAGGAGACTGAGTTCGAGGAGAAGAGTATCGAGAAGATACACAAAACAAGGTGAGCCATTAACGCATGATTAAATGAATACTAACTATTTTTAATTTCAAAAATGGGTCAATATGATTTTTTAAAACAACTTTCCTATAGAAAAATTTTGCAAAAAAACATATTGTTTAGTAGTTCGGGAAGTGTGCGCGCGGAAAACGAAACAAACAAACTCGCAATCTCACTCTACCGAACGCAACAAGAAAATATCGACAGTAGTTATTGGCGATGGTCACATCCTCTTATTGCTTTACACATTAGTATCTGTAATAAAAGTGTCATTGTGTTCTACCATAATAGCACTACCATTACATATACTGATGGTAGTGCCATTATGTTCTACCATTACAGACACTAATATGTGGAGCAATAAGAGGATGCGACCCACATACCAGCGATTATAATGGTAGTGACATTATAATAGAGGATTCTCACATACCAGACATTATAATGGTAGGTGATAAAGATAGTATTGTGAGCGTCCAAATAGAATGTTTTTGTGGCGGTGCTCTTAGCCGAGGTCGAGAAGACGCTAGAGACGATAAGAGATCAACACAAGGCATCGGAGAGGAGAAAGATGGAGAAGTGGATATTGGAGAATTCATAGTGATGAGTGAAAGGGGTACGATAGAACGGGACCAAATGATATGCCAATGAGACGATTGTACATGGGGTGCTGGCCGGATGCAACAGGCGTCAAGACCGATAGAGATGTAAGAGCCAACGATGATCATGTGACGAGTTAAGACTTAGGAGGAAGCATGAATGTAGAATGTATGGAGGGGTTTTTAGAGGGATCTAAACCGCTCGCTTCGAACCAGAGGTGGAAACTTTGAAAACCTAAATCATTCAAATTTTACAAGAGCTATCCCTTGACTATATTATTGGTAAAAGGTTTCGGATTTGACATATAGCAAGTATGCACAAACACGGGACAGTTAGGGGCAGAGCTAGTATATATTAGGGGGTGCCCACCGGTCAAATTTTTTTTTTTAGCTATACGTCATCTATTTTCACTATGTATACACCCCCTCAATACAAACTTAGGCACCCGTATCAGCTTAAACTCGATCTAAAGTAGAGTAAATTAAGTAAGTGGCACCACCCTTCATTTCGCTCTAGCTCCGCCCCTGGGGATAGTATTAAGTTTATAGTGTCTTTTTTATGGTACTTTTGTCTATAATGATATAAAATTGTCAGTTAGGGCTGGTTTGGTTTGAGGCCTAAATTAGGCTTACCAATATTTGGCAATTTCAATAGTGTTTAGTGTCTATTTGGTTTGAAGCCAAATTTTGTCATGCCTAAGAAAATAGGTCATTTCAATAGTGAACTTAGACTATTATGGCTTCAATCCAAATATAATTTTGCCTTACTAAAATTAGTCATGCCAAAACTTACCAAAATTTAGCACTGACAAAATTTGGTAAGGTTTATTTAGGCCACAAACCAAATCAACCTTTTATTATACATTTGATTTATTGACTGACGTGGGAGCACCACAAACCCTCATATCCATATGTCAAATCTTATATGGCACTCGCACAGGATCTTAAATCTTACAGAACAATATTACTAGTTCTCGTTTAAGAGTAAAAGCTTTACTTAGGATGAATTGAATAGATTTCATTCGTCTATTTTTCATTCAATGGTAGTTTTTTAGGTTTACACGACACAACATATAGGATTTGCATATTACTATGTCAAGATACAATATTAGAAAAATATATAGTGCAAATAATATATGTAGTAGAAACCTAAAAACTACCGTTGGATAAAAATGAAGCCCAAGATCTAACCACATCACTTACAATAGAAGTTTTACTTTCGGGTTTAACCGTGAGTAATTTTACTATTGGTGACGTGGTCAAATCTTAGGTATGAATCCAACGGTTTGCACAGCATATTTTCTCACTTAGGCTGTGTTTAGTTTCATGCCAAAATTGAAAGTTTGAAGAAATTGAAACGATGTGACGAAAAAGTTAAAAGTTTGTGTGTGTAGAAAAGTTCGATGTGACGGAAAAGTTGGAAGTTTGAAGAAAATAGTTTGAATCTGTTTGCCTTACAAGACACTTCATCAGATTGTAACAAGCGCAGCGCATTGGCTTCATGTATCACACAGCATGAGGGATGACGGCCCAGTGCAGTCGGTTAGCCGACGAGCGGTGGCCGGGCTCATCGCCACGCCGTCACTCGCTCCCAAGGCCCATAGAGATACGGATCACCATATGACATAGATGGACCAAAGCGCTGGATCTTACAGTCCCTCTGATGCCAGACCTTGAATTTTCCTGGACTGGGATGAACAAAGGGAGAAAGAGAGTAGCAAATCCTGCACAGGGGCCTCACCTCTCCGATTCCATGGCCACACGCATATGTCTTTTTCTTTGGGAAAGGATATGGAACGGGCACATGGTGGCCGCAAGTCTTGCAAACGCAATCAACTGAAAACACACATATGTACACGAGATTTATTGGTACAGTAAGACTGTAAGAGAGATTATTGACAGTGAAGAGGTTTTTTACATGAAAACAAAACACAGGTTTAATAAATAAAGTAGTAGAAGTAATAGATTATACATACATATGCCGCTGCGTCTTTTGTCCCACCCAAGACAAAAACATAGGAAACTGTAACCTTCATCAACTGGTTCATCGTCTGAAACAACAAATACACACATCAAGTTCACTCTGAACGTAAGCAACAACAATGCTTTTAATTGTATTGATCTTAAAGGTTATGGATCCCCTCAAGGAGTTATCCGACAAAAAAACACTATATCTCATGAGTCAGCAAGGGTGGTACAGACAATGCAAGTCAGTGAATGCAGTCATTAGTCCATAATGACGTGATTGAGAACTAAGAATCAATAATATCTGCAACTCGATCCTATTCTACAGTCCTAGTTACAGATGACCATTTTATTTTTTGCCGGGACGGCCAAAGGCCGGCCAATTTCATTAAGATTAAGGGAAATAAAGTTTTAATTACAACGACATGAAGGATGTCGCGCCGGTCTCAAGCAAACTCAAGCCTGGAAAGAAAAGGAAAAAATGGGGCAGGTCCCGCCTCTAGTCGGGATTACTCGCTAGCCTGGGAGAAAATCCCTGCTGCCCTCCAAATTGCGATTTCCTCGTTGATGTCATCCGCTAGCCGGTCAACCGACTTGGTGATGTGTTGAAAGATCCTTGTATTTCGCTCTTTCCAGATAAGCCAACAAATTAGCATGAACAGACTATCGAAATCCGTCCTATACGTGTTCTGAAAACGCCGTCTTGTCGCGATCCACCAATCTGCAAGCAGCATGCCATCTTCTGCAGGGATTGCAATGTTAATGTTGCACCAACGTCTCAGCTTGCGCCAAACCGCCGCCGTATAATCACAGGACACAAGCAAATGATGGCAGTCTTCGTTCTCGCGTTGGCATAGGGAGCAAATGGCGATGACCATTTTATTTAGAATGACTTAAAAACCAAAGTGTTCAATTGAAAAGAAAACAGAACTACATTAATACACAAGATAATTTGACCAAAATAAATTAATTCCCTCTTAACATAAACAAGAAGGCAACAAGTGGACCACTCGCCAAAATAACTTAACTTGCACATAAGTGCAACAGATCACTACCTCGCTATTTACTAACTATGAAATAAGGCCTTAAAGAGCAAATGTAGTAAGCTGATTCATGACACTGTAAACAGGAAGGCTATTTTCCAATCACAACATAGCAATGATAATTTGAAATCTCCTACCCATCACAGGATCACACAGGAGTGGCAAACATTTTAACAATTGTATCACACAATATAAAATACATCAATGCATCAAGTTTACCATTCAAATTTTTTTCGGGAATACGCAAAAGGATTGCACACTTTTGTATCAAGAGAAATAAAATTTACACAAAAGGCAAAACAAAGAGAAGAAGGGGGGTTTGGGAAAAAAAGGAGGAAAAAGAGGAAAACAAGGACTTAAGCCTATTCTCGCGATTACAATGGAACGACCAAACGACCTATCACACAATATAAATACATCAATGCATCAAGTTTACCATTCAAATAAAGAAACAAAAACATAAATACGTACCTAAGGGGATGCATGTCACAACACCATCAAAATGATCGAGTTCATAAAAGAAGAGGGTCCTTGGACCACCAGGTAGGAACGAGAAGCAGCCTGTGCGCTTCCGACGAGCCAGAAAATTGCCATGATCCCCGATGCTAATATGATCGTGCTCTGCACAACCCTCATGTCTGATCACCTTTCCAGCAGCAAGTTGGAATTCAGAGCCCTGATCAATCACAAGAGTACATGAATATATAAGCACAACAACAGAAAAGCAAAACATCAGTACCACTGTTCTCTGATGTTTGTGACATTATCGATCGTATTCAGAGAATATGCCAGATCGATCATATATCATATATAGGAGGATAATCACCGGATGCAAAGCGTTGTAGTGTTCCAGGCACTCCCTCAAGAGCCTCTTCTCCTTGTTTTTCTAGCATGAGGAGGAAACCGCAATCAGTCTAGGTGTTGGATTGAAGAAAATGAACTAGGAAATCGATTGACGCTTGCTCTGACAGATAATTGGTACTAGTAGGGTGGTGATCAGTTGCACTTGCACACAAGGGGGAGCAGATGCAAATCGGAAAGAAGAAATTGCGATCAAACTGAGCGAGTGTGTGGATCGGTGAAGCATCAAGCACCACCTTACCTCTCCCGGCGATCATGGACGGAGCGGATCCACATGCGCACGCGTCGGGTCAGCGTCGGCTTGGGCGGCCTCTCGGAGGGGTGGGGCCCACATCGCCGGTAAGGTTAATGTCTCATCCAATGCATGCCAGACTGTACATTAACAGAGATAAGGTGGACAAACAGATTGTAAGAGAATGTCTGGAATACTACAATTCTATGCATCCAGTGATGTATCCTATCCTGACATATATCCTTTCTCTCATTCAGTCATTCTCGGCTAGAATTTGCATTAGTTCTGAAATTTAAAATGGGTTCAATCGTCAAAAGAAAAAAAACGATAACTTCTCTTTTGTTTTCCTTTCTGTATTGTTGTAATCTACTGTCCTGACTATCTCTGTTCATGCCTTGTTTCTTCACCTGCTTCTGTGACAAATCAGGGCTCCTTTAAAGATAATCCGTCGTCGGTAATGCCAGAATCTGCCTGGCGAAAAAGTAATGCCACAATCTGGATACATTGGCAATTTTCTGGCTTATCAGAAGCGCAAAGGCTCTGCTCATTCTTACCTGCTCCACGGTCTCTCTTATTTTATGAACATCTCCTAGGTATGTATGTGCTTATGCTCCTACTATGCTTTCTTTAATTCTCTTGTTGATGCACCATGTTTTCAAATGTGAGCTTTGTTTTTTCAAAGATCACTTTTAAATAAAATGGTCACCTCGATACGTGGATATAGAAAGTGTTGGAAATATAGTCATGAATCAGCACATTTTAATCCAAAATATTAAAGCAATAATCATGGCATAAGCAGTGTAGGGTGATCTTAACCTAACCTAACAGTAAAGCGATAGCGCTAGCAAAGGGAACAGGAACAGGAGAAGGATATACCCCGAGAATGGCCCTCCGCTGGATTGTGAGGCAGAATTGCCTCCGTTGATGTTGTCGTTCGCGGCACTGGCTCCAGCTCCTGGCGGCGCACCACCTCCAGTAGCGGCGGAAACTCCAGACATTGCGAGCAGTCGTGCGGGAAGCACTCTCCAAAAACTTGATCACCCGCCTACCCGGTGCAGATCTTAGGCGAAGATGTGGTTTCGGAGGCACTGCTCCTTCCAATCTCTCGTGCGCGCAAGAGATCAGAAGCGAGGAAGCTACCCGGTGCAGATCTTAGGCGAAGATGTGGTTTCGGAGGCACTGCTCCTTCCAATCTCTCTTGCGCGCAAGAGATCAGAAGCGAGGAAGCGAGAACAGCACTGGCGCGGAGGAGGAGGAACTAACACCGGGAAATAAGCAAGCGTACGTTACAGATCGGACTCGCGGCCTCCTTATCTATCAGGAGAGAGACGCGGCCGTTGGAACGTGGTGCGGAGAGAGTCGTGGGAACGTGGTTAGTGGCTGTAAAAGAATAGCGACGCGACGCACGCCGCCGCCACGCCTCGGCCACGCCCGGCCCGGCGCGCGCGCGTGTGGCCTTCCGACCCCCACCTCAACCAGTCAACAGGGGGCCTCCAATAACTCCCTATTTAGGTTGAGGTATTCCTCGCTTAAATCCTGAGGTGGTATTATTATCCTTAACACTTATTATGGGCCTTTGAGATTTAATAGGATAAGCTGGGCCTAGCCCAATTATTCTAACAGAAAGAAAGGAAAGGGTTATGGATGCAATTGAATGAATTGATGATCCTTAGTTCTTATCTGTTGTCACTCGTCACCTACATAATGGATTGTTCTCCAGCTGGTTGCACCAACTTGCATTGCCACCGTCCTTACTTGAACCAGTTAACTCTTTGTGCTATATGTTCTTTTGTCAGAAAAAAAACTTGATTTCCTGACATTATTATATTACATTATGTTGTCGATGAACCTAATTCGTATTTTTGCTGTTTCAGAAGATGAGCCATTTGAGGAAGTTAGTCTCCTGGGATTTTGTGAGACTTGTGGCTATCGTCTTGCTCTTCTATATCCTTTCGCAACAACAACATTTGAATACGGGCATCAAGGGGGTGAAGGCTCATTGCAGAATGTGATACCTTCATTCTCATGTTATACATCCTAAACTTCCAGCGTGGGCATCGAAATTTGAAAGGATGCCAAATTCGGGCACTTTCAGGAGATGCCGTTTAATATATACTTTTAGAGTGTGCCATTTTGATCTAAATAATCTGTTAACGACTCTTGCACCCATTTGCTGCATCTTTTGGTTTGTTCGACTCAAAATAAAATAATTATTGTGACATCTGCAGACTTGTGCAGTCTGCAGTTTACTTCATGTGCGGGTAATCACTTCAAACTGAGGTTAGAGTATTCCAAACTTTAGCCAAAAAACAAGTAGAAATGCCCCTATAGCTCAGTGGTAGAGCGTCAGTCTTGTAAACTGAAGGTCCGTAGTTCGATCCTGCGTGGGGGCAACCTTTTGATTTACGTGTTCTCATTTTTTTTAAAGAAAATGCTGTGCTGAGCAAAAGTCAAGCAGCATGTATTTTTTGTTTTACTCGTTCTTTTTTTTTTTTGCAACCATTTGTTTTACTTGTTTTCATTTATTTAATTCAAGCAACATGTATTTTTGTTTTACTTGTTCTTATTTTTTCATAAAATATATGCTGTGCTGACTGCTGAGCAAAATTCAAGAACACATGTAATTTTTGTTTTACATGTCCTCATTTTTTTTTAGATTTTTTTTGTGCTGACAAAAATTCAAGCAACATGCCTTTTTTTTGTTTTACTTGTTCTATTTTTTTTATAGAAAAAAAAAAGAACTGCTGTGCTGAGCAACATGTATGGCAAATCGCTGCCACTCATTTACCTGTAACATGCTTTTCAACAGTTTCCTGAATATTTGATTATGACCTGTGAAATTCGTCTAAAAACAGTCCATTCCAAAGGATGGACATCACAATGGGATCAATTTGTACAAAATAATGCATGACTTATGGCTACCACTGTAAGAAAAACAAACTGAAATCCCAGGGGACAGTAATAAGGAACGGATAAAGCCACCTCTTTTCTCTTTATTAGTAACGAGAACAAGTGAAGAACACACATTCTGATTCTTTCCCTCTGATCTATATATTTCCTATGTGCAGTTCTGCATTGTGTACAAAAGAATAAGCTCCAATAAGCCCCAAAGGGGCATTCAGGTCCCAACTAGTATAAATTTATGACAGGAAAACAACTGCTGCTGCTTTGCTGCAACAGATTTAGTACACTGTAATATGTATTTTGAACTCTAGTGTTTAATATATCCAACACATCATTTTGCACCATCCCTGTAAGTTATAGATCTAGAAGTGTTTCTGTCTTTATAATATCCACTGCCTGAACCAGTTCTTCTGTTTGGCTGGGGAGAAATAAACCAACCCCGAACTCCTCCAGGCCTATTCTGAACCAAGAACAACCCTTACATGCAAAGCACATAACCAAGATGCAAACCTTACTAATCCCTGGCAGCCTTGTTTCTCCAAGCAGCAATTTGCTTCGGAAAGGTGTCGAAAATAGGCTTTGGAATGCTGTCGAGAAGCAGGATTGGGAGAGGGAGGGTGAATGCATCTGGTTTTAAGTTCCACTTGCTCTTAAGCCACACAGATGCAATGCTGTTGTCTGAATCTTGGAATTCTGGGGTGCTTGATGACTTCCTCACAGCTTGCAATCCATCACCATATGAAGGCACTGCGGTTGCTACAAGATCTTGCTGGCTGTTGTTTATTTCCGGTCGACTGCCAGATTTTGGCCTCAGCGCCAAGCCCGGGCCGGCCTTCATCAGTACACCACCACTGTTGCCCTCCCTTGTTGAGAACTCAGCATCAGATTTCTGGCGGCGTCTTATTGGCTTTTCAGCATCGTCAACCTCACCATTTACAAGAGAAAAGCCCGTTGATAAGCTTCTAGCTTTCGTATGCTGACCTGGATGAGGATCAGATTCATAAATTAGTTTATTAGTTGATCTCCAATTCGTAGTTCATCATCCAAGCAAACAGTGATGGCTTTACCTATACTGTATGTCGCCATTTCAGTGCCTTCATTTTCTGGGTCCCCCTTTGGAGGTCGAGCAAGGCCATAGTAGTTCTGCAAGAGGTCCATGGATGGTGCAACTGTGCTCTGCGGTGGTTTCAGGAGTGGATCCAAGGCAGAATTTTTCGGAGGGCGCCGCGTAGCCCATTCTCTGAAATAATTTATATTGTTGTTATTGCAGGCAAAGCACCAAGTATAGTAGTATACCCATCGAAAATGTCCACAGGTATTAAGAGACTGTAGTCAGCACTGTGGAAAAGCTTCACATGGCACAATCATTAAACTAGAAAAGAGCAGCAGCTAAGCATATGAAATGCCAACTAGAGGGAAGTACTAGTGAGAATCTACAACAATCAAGTATGCGTCCTTTTACACTAGAACTCTTTGAGAAGGAAAGAAAACTTTGTACTAAGTGTGAATGAGTAGTCGGTGCTATGAATTGTTCTTTTGGGACCTTAAACTATTCCCATGTTCTAGATACGTGTCTGTGAAGAATATAAAAGGAACTAAAAAATGTGTGGGCACTGAGCAGTGAGTGCAAGCATGTGGAGTGCGGCACATCTGTTCACAGGAAGGATCGCATTCCCTTTCCTCAGCCTCAATTCCTCGTTGCTTTCCTGTGGATGTTCCCATCACTTGCAACTAACCCAGTGGCAGCCCCCTCTTTTGGGAGGTTCAGAAAGGAAGAGCACCTAGTTACCAGTTTGACACTATGCACACTAGGCGTTAAGTCAGTGTTCAATACTGAATAGTGATTCCATTTCCATTATCTAAAGAAAAAAATAGTGATAGCGAGTGTTATACGGACCAGCAGGAAGGCGATTTCGCGTGGATTTCAGCCAAACCTGCCTACCTCCTGACCGAACTAGTTCTTGGGCTACTGGCTCGTATTTTCAAATGATGCACTAGTAGTACAAAATTGCGTACTGGTAGTGCAAAGAAAGCGGGTGCAAAGTCAGCTAGAATTTCTTAAGAATTTGTGCCTAATAAAATTGACTTGGTAACCGTGGGAAAAGAAAAATGGCATGTAACGAACTACACAGCGTGGACAAACAAGAAGAAGCGAAGGTTTTTTCCTTCACCGACACGCTTCCACGCCTTCCCGGTGGAGACAGTTTGGTTTGCAATAATCTCGGGAGATTGAAAATGTGGAAGCGAAGATTAAGGCGTGTAATTCATCGCTCAGTTATTACGTAATAATAATGCGAATCCCTTGAAACAAAAAAAAAAGAAGGGGAAGAGATGCAAGGGCGTGCGTACCTGGGACGATGGGTGGCGGCAGGGGAAGAGGAGGGAGGAGGATGGGATGGCGCGGTGGCGGTGGCGGTGGCGGCGGGTGGGTGCCTACCGGGGAGCGGAATCCGCAGCGTCTTGTGGGCGAACATCTGGAGGTCGGTGGTGAGGCCGTTCACCCGCTTCACATCCGCCACCTGCACGAGGGGAGGGGAGGCGCCATGAAATCGCAGACTCTTACACAGCTTGAAGAAGAAACTGTAAGGGGATGGGATGGAATGGAGGTGTGGTGTGTTGTACCTCGACGCCGTACTTGATGGCGACGCCGGCGAGGGTGTCGAACCTGCAGACGCGGTGGAGGATGTAGCGGCCGCAGGACGACATGGGCGGCGGCGAGAGGGAGAGCGAGTGCGGGTGCTCCACCTCGACCTCCACCACCGCAGTCCCGGCGCCGCCGCCACCAGCACCGACGGAGAGGAGGAAGACGCCGCGGCGGTGGGCGTCGGGCGCGGGCGCGGAGGGGACGCCCATGTGCCCGATCCGCCCTATTTTTGGCGGGCGGACGAGCTGCCTCTCGTCTCCTCGCCTCTCCTCCTCCTCGTGGCGTGGCGTGGCGAGGCGGATGGAGGAGCGGGGCGTCGCCTCGTCTCGTCTCGGCTCGTGGCGTCGGTGGGAGGAAGCGCGAGAGGCGGAGAGAGTCGAGAGTGGAACGGGTCGCTGGCGCTGCAAAATAAAAGGGCTCGGTCTCCTCGACTCGTGTGTGTTTGGTTTGGTTGGGCTGGTTCGCACTCACACCCGCACACGCGACACTGCCTCTTGGCTAGCTGCTCTCTCGTCTCGTGTTGACCGTCTTGTGCTGTTTGACGCGGTTCCTCTGAATCCGCCGCTCGCACCATCACTGCCAACGTAACGCTATCGGCTTCTCTGGTAAGTCGAGGTAAGTGGTTTGGAAGTTTACACGAGAGAAATGATGATGAGATTAAGATGGAGATTTAATTTTTAATCCCAATATCTTGTTTAGTAGAGGTGATGGAAATTGATAGGGAGTTTAGTTGGAGATTAGATCATTAATAAAAATGGATGGCTAAGATTTGATTAGACAAAGTAAAGGAGGAATTCCCTCCAAATTACCTGCCCCTATTCAGGTATTGAAAAGGAGGGAGTTCCTTCCTCAATTCCTTATCCCCATCCTAACAAAATTCTCATGTCTCTCAACCAAACAAAACACTTAATAGCCTCATCCCTCTAAACTCCCAATCCCTCCTAAAAACTCTCTCCAACCAAACGGGCTGTATGTTTGTTTAGCATATACATATTTTAAAGCATATAATATATATTAAGCGGATTATTTAAATAATTTAATTATTACTCCGCTGTTTCAGGTTACAAGATGTTTTGATTTTGGTTAAAGTTAAATTATTTCAAGTTTGATCAAGTTTATAGAAAATAATAATAATATTTTCAAACCAAGATAAATTTATTATAAAAATATATCTAATTAATAAATTAAAAAAATATTTTAATATAAATATTACTATATTTGTCTATAAATTTAGCCAAACTTAATTTATTATAACCTGAAACGGAAGGAGTATATGCTTTTAAAAATCATATTTAGTGCTTTTTGTTAGATTTATTTATTATTAAATATTTAATTTATCTCTGTAATTATGTAGGTAATCCGTTATAATAATTTCGCTGAATCATCAAACAAGAAAAGTCACGATAACAAGCGTTTCTTGTTTCTTCAGTTACTAATGTAGTTAAAAATTGCTGTCGTTTTAGACTGTGTTCTTTTTGAATGGGTTGAAAACTCTTTCCCTCCGCATATAAAAATGAATAACAGATTAACACATGTTCATTATGTACCACGGTACCAAATAACATCCACACAACGCTATTCATCATCTTATCTATATATGGGCATATGGCAGCAAACGCAAATGCTGTTTGCATACCATTCGTTCAGGGACTTGATCAACTAATAATAAAAATTCGATCACCTACTTACTGGTAGTACCTGCGTTTAGGAACTAACTACTTATTTTTGCATATACCAGTTCTCCTTCCACGGCTAATTGTGCTTTTCACCCAACCTTGCTTTCGTACTAGTATCAACTAACTTCCTTTTCACCAAAACTCAGAGTTTCGTGTTGTTGACCATTATATAGTTAGTGCATGGAGCATGTGGATACTTGGGAATACCGAATATGGCCAATGAAAACGTAGAAAGATAGTGTCAAACACGAGCAGTATTTCTTTACAAGGCCTTACACGTATACTGACGTACAGTTACAGTGTTCTTCTATTGGTATTTCGGTACGTAGAGATTTCCTGACTTGAAGCAAAATGACGCCACGTCTCGGACCGATCTTGCGTGTTGAGCAGATTGATTAATCACAATCGAAGTACCTTCGATTCTTCGAAACGATCTATGTCAACTCTTTGGCAAGTCTGACTCTTTTTTTTTCTTTTTTAAAAAATGCTGATTAGAGCATGGAAGAACATTGGGCGGTTCTGACGCTCACTGAATTTTGCAGCTCCCTCGTTGTTGCTGAAGAACAGAAAAAACTATGTATGCAAATGCAGATCCCAAGTTTAGGATGGATTCGTGTTGTCGATCTTCGATTTTTTTTTCTTTAATAGCACGGCTCATGTTCTCTGAATGTCCTCAGTGCAAATAAGCGCTCCGTTTCCTTTTTACTTTCAGAGTTCAGTATGGCTGTACAAGCAGTTAGGATCATCATAACCTGTTTAACAAAGCAACAATCTAGTGCATTGCAGCCGGCCTATGGTAAGGAAAAGAAAAGAAAAATGGTAGTAGAATATATGTACTTGAAAGCAACTTAAGTATAGACCTTTTGAAATTAGACATCACCAAAAGTCAGCAACTGAACACATGACAAGCACCGAATAGGTCAAATAAGGTTTGGCATGCATGGTCAGGACAAACAAACGAAGGACTCTCTCTAACTGATGAAAGCGTTTTAATTTAGTTCATACACTAATAACGACCTTAACAACCGGTCTCTTTCCTGATCCAGTGGCTTTTGGTTAGGTAGGTGTTTGAATGGAATTCTTGGACAAAAAAGCAGCTTTCAAGTAGCAGTAGAGCATTATTATCATTGTGCTAATATATATCACTCATCAAAGCAAACTACATTCTGTCACGAAATGGTCCAAATATCTTCTTTCATTCACCTCCTGTCCTGGATTGCAGGGCTGGGAATAGAATACAAAAATCAACGTGTAGCAGTAGTATGAGTGTCATGGTCAGCCATCGAATTGGGACAGAAACGCCTCTGTCCAGAAAAGAAGGGCAGCTGTTGCTACTGCATTGAGTTGGCCTTGTGTCGGTGGCATGATAGCTCAGTGATCACACTGCTCCGTGCAGTGATGCTATATCATGCTCTCAGTCACTGAAGCTATCAGCATAGTGACACGCAGACAACACAATTATTAGAGCACTTGTTCAGTGCTGTGATTTCTCGATTTGGTGGACTTATTAAGAGTAGCCTGATTATTACAGAAGCAGCGAGAGCGACGCCGTTGAGATTACGGAAGAGTTTTGGTTTAAAAAGGAGAGCAGGTTTTGCTCCGGCGGTTCCCTGCAATATATCCTGGGCAGGCTCCTTCATTGCTTTTTACCTTTTTGTGCTGAAACATTTATGGATGCGTGGGAGTCATTTGGCCGTTGATCCCGGATGTCACTTGGGGTTGTCGTGGATTAAACAAGCTAGTACTAGCAGTAATGAATTGATCAAGAGCGTTCAGAGACAGACCAGAGTGAATGGAATGGAAGGCCATGACCATATGCATATGCATATGCATTGCATCGTCGGCGTGTCCATGGCCATACATCGTTGAGTAGCAGAGAGATGGCGATATGTGGGGTTTCGTGCGACATGAGCGAGAAGATGAAGGGCGAATTCGTTATGTGCGCCATGTGGACGCGAAATGTGTGCATCGAAAGCGACCACGCTGCCCCGCGATTTATTAACGAAAGAGAGGGGAGTCTCTCCCATTTCATTAACGAAATGGGCATCGAGATGACTTTGTTGCTAGATTGTTGAGCTTCAGAGAAGGGCACAAGTCTGAAACTGGAGCTTTGAGAATGTGCTTATCTGCTCTCCTGTTGGAAGTTAAATCAAATACTACTCCTGCTGAAGTAGTGGCAATTTAGCCGTTCCTCTGTCTTTCAGATCAATTCCCACCTGTTCTGAATTCTTATTTCGGTGAAAGTTTAAGCGTGAAACAATAGCAACTGCGAGAAAATGCAAGAATACCGAATCAAAAGCTGGAGTGGCTCAGCTGCTCGATCAGCTTGTTGTAATCCCTTCTTACTATAAAATCATGACCCATGAACTATAATTAAGACCCTAATAATAAAGCTCAAATCTCAATATTCCACATCATCATCAATTCTAATCCGTTGGATCACTATATTAGATTGCTTATCAGGCGTTGGATGAACAAAACGTAGTGGAATAAGTTCACTTGGTGACCCTTAAAAGCGATTGAAATCTAATCCGTAACCCTAAACCACAAAACCGGATATCTTGACCCCCAAACTATGAAAACTGGTGCAATTTGACTCCCTCGGCGGTTTTGGAGGGTGGTTTCGCTGACGTGGCGGTATTGACCGGATCTCCTTTACACGTGGCGTTGACGTGGCGTTTAGGTGGCATTTAGAATTAAAAATATGTGTGGGATCCATTTGTCATTGACACATATTGTGGGACCCACGTGTCCTTTCTCTCTCCCCTCCCTCAGTTCATTATCTCTCCCCACCACTCCCTCTCTCTCTTTCCCGCGGCGGGCGGCGACGGCGGCGAGCGGTGGAGACGGCGGCGAGCGGCGGAGGCGTGGCGGCGGCGCCCGGGCTGAGCTCCACCGCGGCGAAGACGGAGGAGACCACAGTGACGGCGGCGGGAGGCACACGCGGCGGGGTACGGCGAGCTCGGCCGCCGCCGACCAGGTCTTCGACGCCGCAACTGGCGGGCGGGTGAGGGCGGCGCCTCGTGGCAGTGGGAGGACGAGGGGAGCCAGCGGCGGTGCGAGCGGCGGATGAGGGATGGGGGCCGGCGGGCGGGAAGGCGGCGACGGCTTGTGGCAGTGGGAGGACGAGGGGAGCCGGCGGCGGTGCGAGAGGCGGATGAGGGATAGGGGCCGGCGGGCGGGAGGGCGGCGGCGGCTTGTGGCAGTGGGAGGACGTGGGGAGCCGGTGGCGGTGAGAGGGCGGGCGGACGAGGGCGGCGACGGCTCGTGGCAGAGGGAGGACGAGGGGAAGCGGCGGCGGCGGCCGGATCATGGCACTTCTCCTCTCGGTGGACGGCCGAGTAGGGGAATGACGGCGTGAGGCGACCTCCTCGGCGACGCGCTCGCCCTCATCCCTCTCCTCGAGTGGTTCCGCCTCGCGGTTTCGAAGTCGCCGCGGCGACCTGCTTCTCCTTCCCGCCCACCTTCGCCGCCCTCCCGCTGCCGCCCACCTTCGCCGCCCGCGGGCCGCCGCCGTTCTAGCTAGCTCTCGCCGCCGCTCGCTCCCCGCTCGCTTGCTCCCCGGGAGACGGAGAAAGAAAGAGAGAAGGGAGGGGAGGAAGAAGAAAGGGAGAAGATGCTGTGTGGGGCCCACATGTCAGTGGGCCCCACAATTGTGTGTGTGAATGACAAACGGGTCCCACGTATAACTTTTTAATTGAAATGCCACCTAAGCGCCACGTCAGCACACAGACTAGGTCAATACCGCCACGTCAGCGAAACCACCCTCCAAAACCGCCACGTCAGCGAAACCACCCTCCAAAACCGCCGAGGGAGTCAAATTGCACCGGTTTTCATAGTTTGGGGGTCAAGATATCCGGTTTTGTGGTTTAGGGTTACGGATTAGATTTCAATCACTTTTGAGGGTCACCAAGTGAACTTATTCCAAACGTAGTAGCCACCACATGGGGCCCATCTATTTTGATCTTGGCCCAATTTAATACTACCTCCGTCCCAAAATAAGTGCAGTCGTGGATATCCGTGCCCAACGTTTGACCGTCCGTCTTATTTGAAAAATTTGTGAAAAAATTGAAAATATTTAATCACACATAAAATACTATTCATATTTTATCATCTAATAGCAATAAAAATACTGATCATAAAAAAATTTCAATTAAGACGAATGATTAAACGTTGAATGTGAATAGTGCAAAACTGCACTTATTTTGGGACGGAGGAAGTAGTGAAGGACTTAGGGTTTCTTCTTTGATCAATGGGGTATCCTCCTATAGTCGTATAAACTGTAGTTTTGTAATTTGCATTGCGTATATATATCTATCACACACAAAAGCCATTACGATGATGCATAGGTTGTGTGGTTTAGCTTCAGCACAATTATTTTTTAGAACATTTTTTAACATATATCGAATGGGTGAGGTAGCTCACAGGCATGAACAATATATTCATCTTAGAGCATCTATTTTCAACAACAGTTCAGATTTAAGTGTTAGGTTTAGCATGGTAATTTTATCTTCCCACTATTATTCACAACTTACAGCATGAATTCCACATTAAAAGAAAACTACTAGCTACTAAAGTTACTCCCTTGCAGATAGCACCATGAGAAGGATATGGTTCTTTTTTGCAGATTTAAAGGTAACCATATGATCCATATGTGAATATTTGGAAAAAGAGAAGCACGTGATTCCAATAGCTACATATTTGATGAGAATTGAGAGTGTGTAGTAATGCATATTGTTGGACGAAATATAGCTGAAGACCATACAAATCACATATGTTGTACTATAAAACATTCTCCGACCTTTTGTAGCTCATATTTTGTTGCCTTTGCTCACCTGAAGCCGATACTAAATTATCTTATTGAAGCACACAGTTTCCTGCCTTGCATATTCTTGATGCAATTTTTTAGCACAAATATACCACCGGTATCGCTGGTTGAGGATGCAAAGACCGCTCGGTCTCGTAGTCTCGCCACGCGACACCGAGCTATCAATGGTATATTTCTGCGAATAAAATTGCATCCGGGATATTTCTAATAGAAAAATAATAAATAGTATATTTTCAAAAAAAAAATTTCTCATCTTGTTCCACCAGTTAAAGTATGGAAGGGATTCTTCTTCTGTGAAATTCCATAGTTTTAAAACAGCAGCCTCTATCTCAACATCGTCGCTTTGCCTCCGAAACCCTAAACCACGCCACGACTCCTTTCTTCGTCGAAGAAATCTGTTTGTTTCCGCAACGGAAAAGCACGGCCCATCCCGTCTCCTTCCTTCATACTGGGCCGGGCCGTCTCTGTGATATGATTCATTTGGTTGGCCCATCACGTGCAATTGGGCCGGTCGAGATCAGTATCATAAGAGTCTCAATACATCCATCTTTATAGATTCTTAGAACATGTCATAATATTATATACTTGAGTCTCAGTACACTAGTTTTACCACCAACATGCAACTGATCCATTTTACAAGCTAATTAACCTCTCGCTAATTAATTTCTCTCTCTCTCTCTCTCTCTCTCTCACTCTGCATAATCCCATAACCTGATTACTATTACTACTCCCCTCCTTGATACTTGCACGCAATATCATCACAATCCAAGGGGTAAAATGAACATTGACCCACCCAAAAAGAAACCATCCCGCCAAAATCCAAACTAGAGGCAGAAGCAGCCGCCGGCGTTGTACTTGACGTCCTTCCGGCCGCCGCCGTGCTTGATCTGCTCACCGACCTTCCTCACCGCCGGCGCGCACGGCGTCCACTCCGCCGCCATCCGCACCCGCGCCCACCACAGCCACCCGCTTCCGTTCCCGCCCTTCCGCTTCCGCCTCGCCGCGGCGGCCATGGCGGCCTCCGCGGCCAGCCGCTTGTTGTCCGCGCGCAGCCGCTCGATCTCGGCGAGGCCCACCTTCCTCTCCGCCTCCCACGCCGCCATGGCCTCGTAGCACTCCCGGTTCCGCAGCTCCAGCCCGTACACCTGCGACTGCAGCGCCTCGATCTTGCGACCCAGCATGCACACCCGGTGGTCCTCCCGGAGCTTCACCACCAGCCGCGCCATCTCCGCCGCGCGCCGCCGCATGTAACCCAGCTCGGCCGCCGCGGCCGCCGCCTCCTCCTCGGCCGCCGACGCGCGGAACCCGACCCGCGCGTTCTCGCCGAGCAGCACCAGCCTCTCCGACTCCAGCACCTCCACGAGGCTCCCCTGCAGCTCGATCTTCCTCGCCGACTCCGCCTTCCGCCGCTCCGCCTCGTCGGCGAGAATCTCCCGATCAATCCAAGCGGCCACCAGCTCCGCCACCACCAGCTCAGCGTCAACGGCATCACGAACACTGCTGCTGGTGGTGGGTGGAGGCTGGAAGGAGAGGGAGCTACCGGCGTCGGAGGAGCGGTCGTCGACGTCGGAGGAGCCGCAGTCGGAGGAGGCGGCGGCAGCGTGGAAGGGCTTGTTGGCGGCGAGGAGAGACTGGGAGTAGCGGTCGGCGAGGTAGAGGTAGCGGTGGTGGAGGTCGGTGAGCAGCGCCAGCAGCTGCGGCCGCTTGTGGTAGTAGTTCTCAGCGCGCTCGGCGAAGGAGTGGTCCGTCGCCGTCGCCGCCGCGTCCTCCGGCACGCTCACCGCCAGCGCCCGCACCCGCTGCTCGATGTCTACAAAACCCATCACCATTTTGCACACGTCAGATCATCATCAGCTCAAACAAATTTTGGTTCCGATGGCCTAATCAGCCAAAGAAAAAGCCAAATTTTAAAATTTCAAGCTTAATTTTGAGATATTTTTAACGTAATTTCTTTTTCAATATTGGCTTTTAAATCACCAAGAACACATTTGAAAAAGTTTTACCTACAAATCTATTTTTATTTCTTTTTTTTTGCGGGGAATCCATTTTTATTTCCTAACAAACCGTTTTGGCTTATTAGGAAATAAGCCAAACGATGGGGACCTTTGCTTTGTTCTTTATAACTAGTTAATCTTCTTTGTTACTACTCCTAATCAAATTTGTTCAAATTCAAATCCTAACAAAATTTCAGATAAAATTAGCGCTACACTAGAAAAGAACAAGACATGTAGTACTAGCATGTACTGTAGTGTGGTGGAGTAAAAAGGAAGTGGCGGGTAAAAGGGAAGGTGAGCTGAATGATGATGTTGTCATGGAGATGCCAAGCCTAGCTACGAGCTGTGTCTGTTCTTGTCTTTTGGTGTACTCCGGTGGTGAATGGGGCTGACTTTGGAATGATTGGTGCCAAACAGTTTGTCACGCATAGAGAATCGGGTTCAAATTTCAAATTTCGAAGCACACAGGAAGAGACGAGAGGCCAGTGTCAAACCACCGGCTTGTCATCATCATCCAGAAGAGATTCGCCAAGGCGAGTGAAGAAACAAACGAGAAGCAACAAACACACGTCAGCAATCACCCACATTGCCTGTCAACACAGTACTGTGAATCTGTGATAGAAGCAGGTACTCCCACGGGAGGAGAGTGAGTACAGTAGTGGCTATGGAGAATAACTGTAGCTTACGAGATGCTCATGTCCTGGATGATCCATGGCAGAGCAGTGAGCCAGTGACACGGCTGGAGCATGAAGGATGCAAAGCCTGTGTGTAAGCTAGAGGAAGATGACTGATAGCACGCGGACCAGACACATGACATGCAGCAGATCAAGTAGGAGTAGTACTGCAATGTGCAGTGATGGATGGGGGTAAAAAACGGAGAATCATGGGGGGCCATGAATGCGTATCACAGGACACCCGTGACATATCAATGTGCGCTGTATCAGCTCAGAGATTTCATCACAGGATGGATGAGTGAGGAGGAGAGAATTTGACTGTTTAACCACAAGATCTCTATACTTACTGTGTCAGTGCTCATATCCACTGCCTGCCTGCCTAGTGAGTACACATACTGCAGCAGAGGATTTAATTCCCCATGTTTTAATTTAATTACTCTGCTAGTACTAGTACTACTAGCAACAACTACTTGCATTCATACGAGCACCGAAGATACAGTGCACAGAGATGAGTAAATTAAGCACGTGAGAATGAGCAATTAAAGAAACAGGGATGAGAATGGAGGGAGGGAGTAACGGGCGAACCTGCAATGGCCGCCTGGAGCCAAGGCGGGCACCTCGTCTGCTGCTGCTGCTTCTCCGTCTCCATGTCCATGGCCACGATCCAAAGCACCGACGCGATTCGGCGAGGCGTGGGCTTGGGCCCCCGTTCTCTTCTCGCCTTGTCGCAGATGCAGTCAACCTGACACAAGGCCCAAGGGTTAGCAGTAGTACTTAACAGACAACGTTACACTGCACAGCCTCGTCTCTTCACTGTGACATGATACTACTCTAATCCTATACAGTACTGTAAAAAATTGTGAAGAATACTGTGTGCGTGTGTGCAGGCACATCGCGTGGCGTGGTGGTGAAGGCTGTAGAATCCAATACTGATGAACAGTATCTGTGCAGGAGCAGACGTGAGGAAAGGCGCGGCGAGGAGAGGTGTTGTCGCTGTTGGAGGCGGGACATGACAGGACAGGAGAATTTGACTTGTTGCGCTAACCCCCGTCCCGAATCTCAACGCACGGGATAGGCCATTAGCCCGTGCCGACCGTACTGTGTGTGCAGTGCTACTCCTCCCTACTGTAGGGTTCATCGATTTTACAGTGACCGAGGCATGTTGGAGTCAGTGTGCAAAAAAAAAGTTTTTTTTTTGTAAGGCATCAGCAATGTATCCTTCCCAAGTAGTAAATAAGGTGGGACCAACCAAAAGTAGGTAATTGTTATTCAAGATCTCACAATGTATTGGAGGTAATAAGATGGGTCCCACATGTATATAAAAATCTAAAAGTATACGGTAGTATGGATAGAGAAGAAAGATTCAATACATAGCTGAGAGAATCAATGATTTTTTATTCCTTACTAGCAGGTCATAGTGCTATTTGTTGCTTACTACCTCCACAATACCTGGTATTAAGGCTGTATTTATTGCTTACTACTAAGTTTTTGAGCACATTGTGGATGCCCTAGCATTTCGAATGGTTAACCCGGGTGCCACACTGTCAAAACTAAACCTACTGTCAATTAGTACTAGTGGTTCATTCAATTAGTTTTGCCTTTTGCAGTTGGACAAAAAATTTTTTGATGATTTTTGCGCCAGGAAAGGAAAAGGGTTTTAGTGCTACAGTGACACGGTTGGACAAGGGATAGCAAGTGTCATTTTCATTGCACATGAGAGGACAACATGGGTGCAGTACTAGTGTGCCCAGCAATGGAATTACTCACTGTCTTCTAGTGCATCTCCTCTCTACTTTTTTATCATCAGGAGAGACCTGGAGTGGTTTCAAATCGTCACCCTTTTTTTTCTGATGACGGAAAACTACTACTACTATCACGTCATGGGTAGAACTGCTGTATCAATCTAAGATAAATGGATGGATGGGGTAAAAAAACACCGACGAAAATCTCAAAGAAATCAGTGGTGTGAATCAGTTATTCAGAGGTATAGATTGGATGGTTTTCAACATGATAATGGAGGGTTATGCGAAGCGAGGAGAGAAATCCAAAGAGACCAAATGTTGCTGCTCTTAATTGAGAGTTGCGACTAGTAACCACTCCACTTGGTAAGCAATACGATTCTCGTACTGTAGAAGAACCCAACGAGCCACTTAAAAACGGATTCGATTCGATTCTAGAGGGTTTAGGGTTCTAGAGAGAGAGAGAGAGAGAGAGAGATCACACTAAGAAGAGAGGACGAGAAAGAGAGATAGAGATGAACTTACAAGCACGTCGGGTCGGGACGCCGGCGGCGGTTTAGCGGGGAGGAGGAGAGAACGACGCCATTGTTGTTGGAAGAAGCTTTTGGGAGGAAGCAGCTCTGAGCTTTGTCTCTCTCTCTCTCTCTCTCGTGTGAGTGAAGTGTGTGAACGATGTGGCCAAGTCGTCTTCTTCCTCCTCGCTTTGTACTAGAACTGGACATATATATTGCAGCTCGGCTCAGTACAGTACAAGCCAGCAAAGGTAAGGATCGGGCCAAGCAAAGCAAGCGAAGTGAGTGAGTGAACTGGTGCGCTCGTGAGCAGCCGTGACCTGTGTCGTCCAAGCCTGGGGGGTCTCATCCTTCATCTCGGCCGTCCAGATGCTACGTACGGATGGGACGGACGGTGTGGATGTGCCTCGTGCTTGCTGAGTGGTTGACCGGAGGCCGGGGAGAAACCCAACAAACCAACCAACCAACCATACTTACTCTGAAATTGATGTAATTATTTATTGCGGCTAAGAGAAAGAAATTCAAACAGGTTGTTTGTATGGGGTATTTGAAGTCGATCGCCGGGATCTAAAACATTTTTGGTGTGAAACTGGTATCAGTTGGCAATTTAAATTTCAAAACGGGGTTTTTTTGAATTTACCATACGATGATGGGCGGCCATCGGCCCAGCGCTCTTGATATATGAAAACTGGTACGGTCACAAGGAGGGCTGGAGGGAGATAAAGGAGTTTAATGTCACCATAAACTGGTACGGTAAATTGAGCTTGATACATACTAGTACTCCTATAGTGTACTCCAAGCAGTATGCTACACCGAACAGTAAACACACACAGGAGGGGACCCAGGATGCAAGATAACACTTCAACGAACAAGCTGTCTATATACACATGTCAGGCTAAGGCATGGCGTCAGCTACTGATGATTCATTAAAATTCTGTGTTCAGTGGACTAGATACATGTCTCTCTATCTTCTTTAAAACAATCTGGAGCCTGGATGTCTCAATCTGGGGGGTCACAGTAACTCTAAAGATGGGCGATCTCAGTAGAAACGTCGGCAACAGGATACTACAAAATCTTCCGGCAGAGGTTCTATGCGGATGGACCGTCTTTACTAGCCTCATTTTTCATGTTATCTTCGCCATCGGCTTCAGCCTCGCACTGCCCGCTTTCAGGTCCAGACACCTCCTCTGGGCTCTGCTTCCGGCCTTCATCGATCGCGGCATTATCAGAATCCATTGGCACAGCACCTTCTTCTGGTTCAGCCCCGCTACCGCCACCGTCGGTCTCCGGTGTGGCTGAAACAACCTTCACACAGGAATGCACCGGAAATATATCAGCAGCGCAATTCTGAAGTTATTGCTCGTCCAAGTTTGATCAAGACGGTGAGCCAAGTACCTGTTGTTCCTTGGGTTGGGCTGAAGTGCCTTTTGGGTCTTCCCTCTTAGGTCGTTTAGCCTTGTCACCAGGCTTCGAATAAAACTTGGAACGGACTTCAGGTGGCAACAGTTCTTGAGGTACAACTCCTTCAATACCGTAATCACAAAACTGGAATGGGATTGAGTAGAGGTCATGGGATGCACAATTATTTCCATCCAGCATATATGAATGAGAAAAAGAATGCTGTGAGGCTTCATAGCATAACGCATACCCGAGAAAAACCTTCCAAATCCTGCCTGGCTGAAAATCGTAACCCTTTCCAGCAATACACCTGTCAAATAAAATGCTGGTCGTGAGACAATCATATTGGAGAGATAAAAATACCATCTGTTTTCATTATCAGGTCATATGGAAACAAAATTCTTGATCTCAGTGTCCATGGAAGTACTATGAAACAAAGTCCTCGTTTTCATCATGACCGAGACTCTGACAAATGCCCAGGATATTTTGTTTCTTCCTAATGTGATTCAACCCATCTCTATCACTGTGTGGGAGTGGGACATGTCACGCTATGATCCATCAGTAGACCAGAACTATATCAGATTCTCTTTTGCTACACATGATAACAATGTACGGTATCATTTGCTCTAGTAGATCATGCACTTGATTTTAATAAACTATGAAGTACCTAAGTTCTATTGAAGAAGGTGGATGTGCTTACTTCAACATTTTATTTGAATAATGTAAGCACAGAAGTGCACTTATGCTTGATTTAATTCCCACATGGATCAACATATTCACCCAATACGAGCAAACAAATAAAGGCTAACAAATACCACTCCTACTGAAAAATTGGGAGGTTGGATGACATTTGTAACATGGTAATAGACCCAGTCTTTTTAGCATTAGTCTTAGCAGTACCCGCTTAGAAGAATAATTGTATTTTAGCTCCCCGAGAGGTGATATATCTTCCTATTTAAACCAGATCCTAAATGTAAATAGCCTATGCTATACCCTGTTTATTAATTGGGTTCTGGTACAGTCATCACAGAACCAAATTTTAGTATAATCATCTCAACAGGAAATAGTGTTGCTGAGATCTATACTCACACGATTATTCTTGTGGTGATATTCATCCTCAATACCAGCAGATGGATCCATCTGTAAGTTACACATAATTAGAGGATTGCACTAATAAATTGGTTTGCTCAAAGCAAAAAGGACGGATAAAAATGACTATATAAATTGAAACACTTACATCTTCTGCAAGTGGTTTCCAATATTCTGTTACTGATGGCATGCAAATACGTTCAGAATCAGTCAGAGCATTCTGCAGCTCACGGAGAAATTAGAAGTCAGATGCAAAAAAATAAATGCTAAAAAAATGATGAATTTAAATGTTGGACAAGTTGCATCACAAAATGATAAAAAGTGATGAGAAAGGCCGATTAATGGAAGATGTATGCCTTCAAATAGTAGAGTGTTGCATGACAAAAGGATAGAAAATGACTCAGAAAGGCACAGATAGGGAACTCAACGGATGGAACCCTTTTAAACTGGATTATGCAAATCTATTAGTAACAAGTCAAACATAATAGTAATGGGATGCTTGGTAGAACATACAGGGTTTTGTTCAGCCCATTTCCACAGTTGGGCAAGTTCTTTGTTTCCCAATCTCCACCTTGGCTTACTACAAGGAAGGAAAGCAAAATATCAAAGAATTAGATTGCATTTGGACATGGACTTTCTTGTGTGAATTCATATTACAAATCGACATGAGGATGTGAAGTAGAATACTGGCTTGTTAACTCCAAGAATCTATGCTATATTTCCTACTAATTTGTTTTTTTACCTTTTCTCTAAATAAACCTATGCCACAAACAACTACTCAACGAGGCAATCGATATCAAAGACCATTCTTACACTCTTCACTCATGAAAAATATGAAACTAGTTGCATTAGCACAAATGAATACAAATTGTGAACTTCATACATATAACAACACATCTAAATCCATAACATTGTAAGTTGACACTATATAAGAATGTTGATGTGAAACAGGTGAAATTCATGATTCTTGCTTCTGGCGAACATTAAAAAAACTGGCAGCACAAAATTATAAAATAACTAATTTGTCTGCTCCATGGTAATTCAGATAAAGTGTATTTGAAGTTAATGCTCCCAGTGACACAATGTTTAGGATATGGTGCTCCCAGTACCATCAAAATTATAAACAGTATGCTTTGCGGGATGTATTTAATAAGACAATATCACAGTTGATAGCTGCTGTTCTTTTAGTTAGCACTAAAATCATTTCAAATCTATTGTAACTGTTACACATTATGATAGGCTAGCACATCAACAGCAGAACCAATAATAGACTAATGGCAAATTCAGTGCCAGAAGAAAGGAAGTAGCATACCGTTTTCTGACTCCAGCTTGGCCTGGTTTCTTTTCAAAAGGTTGTTTTTCAAACGCTAGACACCCATCTCGTTTCCACCATACCTTCAAGTTGAGCCAGCAGGAACAGAATCATTGGTTGTGAGAATTACTATGTTAAGATAAAATATTGCTTACATGCAGCTAAGAGGATACCCAATTTTTCTCCCGCTCAAGAATATGCTCGATGCTTTGTAGGAAGTCCTTCCCTTTTGGTGGAATTATCTCCAGAAGTTTCTTAACACGCTCTTCACAAGAATCGATTTCCTCTTTCTGATTGTAGAGAGCATAAAGTTAATACAGAGTACAGAGTGGCATTTCCTTAATCCTGATTCATTGTCTGTACTAGCCACTATAACCCAGTTGTATCAGGCAGGCAGTTGGTATTAGTTGGCACTGTTATACTAAAAACTAGCACTGCCAAGCAACTTCATACGGTTTGGACAATTTGTGCAATCAGTGTTTGTTAATACTTACATGCCCAGTAGCACACGCTGTGAGAAGTATGCTAATAAGTGATAATAATCGGTTCAACTAAAATGGGAATAGCTATCACAGACTACTTACGATCTCACATAGCATGCACAGAAAAAGGAGCTGATGGTTTCATGAGAACTAATGCTAGCTTTGCCACATTTGCTGTTGTGACTATCACAAACTCAAGAGCAATCATGTAGTAATAGGTGAATACTAAAAATTTGGTAACAGCACAATTTCAGATGCTCAAGTCTAAGTTCAACTGTCCATGGAAAACAATCAGAGAAGTCATTTAGTGGACTAACCATGCTCCCAGTTGGACCTTCTTTGTCAGTCTTTCCAGGTGCCTTGAGAAAGTCGAAGAATATGAGGCACTGGACAAGGATGTGGCGTCGAAAACTTGGGTCCTTCAACTGCAAAGAAGCAATTGCCATATGAGTCTATGAACAGTGAACAATAATAAAAAGTTAGTATCAGCTGATCAAAAAGTTCTTACCTCCAAACCCATCAATTTACTACTTGTCAGGTACTTAATATTGAAAGCAGCATCTTCCTCTTGGTCAAGATTGTTAAGTTTTCCATCATCGTCACTGAGAGGCTGAGCTTCAAATGTGCTTAGCACAACCTGCACTTTCATTAACAGTAAACATCAACGAGAAGTTCAGAATTAACATTTTGCATTGGGAAAGAAAAAGGTTCATGTAATTGTAAAAATGCGCAAAAGGATGTACCGTTAAATTGGACACAAACTTTTGCCATCTTGTCAGATTTGCAGCAGTTAAAGCAGGGTTACTAAAATGCTCCTGGAACATAAATAAAAAGACAAATGAGCATGAGAAACAATATAATGTTTAAAAGTTAAGAAGCGTGTCAGGAATCAATTATGATTTTTGAATCCCACAGAATGACAGGGTACAAAGCAGCCACCT